GCTTTTTAACCACGTTTGCGGATAAAACCCAGCTGTGTCATGAACGCAGTTGATCACATACTTGCTTGTGTACTACACATGTTCCTGGAGGATGCCACCAGAGAACTCAGACAGTAGAGAACTTTCATATTTGTATGATGTAAACAATAAATTGGCGACAATGTCAACGGCCACTGACACGTTATCATAGATCCCACTGCTTTTCTTGGCAAGTCCCTTCCTGTTATGCTGTGATTGGCAGTTGTCGAAAAGCAGTGGAATCAGCAGTTAGCGCCTAACGACACTTTAGGAGGTTACTTTATTTATAATTCTGACATCACAGCAGAAAAAGCGACAGCATAGATGGTGTGTAAGGCCCCTAAATTAAGCACATCGTGACAATGGCGAGTTTCTCACACTGTGGGTATTGCATCTTACACTTTGTGTTACTTTCTGAGGACTTGCACAACCAGTGCTCCGATTGGACGGAGGATTCATGAGGCAGCTGTAATGTGCACGTGAATGTGTAGTTAAAAGCATGTTCATCTTCAGCCTACGGCCTCAGGTGGGATCGCTGCAGATTTCTGATGATAGACTGACGCTAGTCACTGGTTTTTAAGTTGCATTTGAATGGATCTCATGAGCCCAGTAACATATTCATATTCCATTTTAAGTAAATAAAAATACTCAAATTTAGCTGCAAAAAGTAATCAACATTTCAGCTGCTGGCATTTCCAGCCATCAAACACACATTTCACAGAAGGTTCTCATGTGACTGATATTTCGAGGAGTAGCCTTTACTAATCAGACCAGAACATTTCAAGATAGAAAGATGTTTTTTTAGTTGGTTGCGGAAGATGAAATGCCAAATAGCAAAAGGATGAGCAGTTGGAATTAGTTGAGTTCTGTGTCATTTTATCCAACACAGTCTTGCATAAAGTTGGGAATTTAAGATCTATTCCTACATGAATCATTTAATAGTTTCACCTCTACTACAGTGATTTTCTACAAGGCATAGCAAACATTCTTGTAGGTAAGGAAATGTGTTAGTACTGGTACTTAAATGAGCTGCTACATGACATTCAATCAGGAGGTCCATTTACTGTGCAGTAGTGATGATGTCTCTTGTCAGATTAGTTTTTTGAAACCACCTCAAAGTTTTAGACAGGTACTTTTTGTAGCTGACAGATTCATGTCTACATCATCCCACCTGAGACTCCCCACAGACCTCGGTCCTGCCTCTGGCCTGCACCAAAGCCCCCCTCAGCCTTCAGTCCACCATGCACACACAAACTGGAGTAACTGCTCTCTGTGTACAGAAATACAACTTTGAAGCTGTTTCTCCACTCCTATGCAGTCAGTGCTTCAAAAAAAGACAAATCATGTGAACAAGCACCTCTGTACCTGCCACAGTGTGTCTTATTTGTCTTTACCAGGCACTTGTCATCACATGTTTCCGTACTGGTACTTCAGTCATTAAAAGCATTGTTGTCTGTTAGCATGTAAAGCTAACCATGACCTGTCATTACTGCACTTCGTGGATATATAAACCGTTTTCCCGTAATGTGACAAATGCCTGGCAAAGGAAGTTCAATTCAAACTGTTCGAGAGGACTGACCTGAAAATATAAAATTGATGCAGTTTGCAATGTTTACTAGCTGTAAAAATGACAGTGTCTATTGTAGTGATTCTTGTTTAAAGCAATGTGTTTCCAGTCTGTTCATGTATATGCTGTTTCATGTTGTCATTGCTGTACAATCACAGTTCATGTAAAAGCAATTCTCTGATTAATCATCTGTTCTTACAACATTCATCTCATACAGTTTCTTATATTACGGTATGAAGTCATTTAGTTTTCTTTCTGTATATCTTTTCTGACAAACTCCCAAATAACCAGTCAAATGAGTTAAGTTAGTATTCATGTAATTCTTTTGTTAAATAAATTAATGCTGAGACTTAAAGGTTGTTCCTGGTGTTTAGTTACATCTACATGAACCCACCTACTGCTCAGTGTACATTAGTCCCCACATTACACACACTGTAGGGGATACACTATTGGGAGAAAGGAAAGAAATTTGTGCTGAGTATACAATGGGTTGGTTTACATGCACGCTAATATTCTACTAATATTCAGAATATGACATTATTCTGAATTTTATACTAGTCATGCATAGTCTGTTAAGATATTCCAAATGTATTATTTTCTGAACAATCAGATCAGATATGACGGTATTAGTCCAGTTATAGGAGCATTCTTTGGATATGTATGCAACACTTTCACAGTTTGCGACACACAGCCTCTGCATTGTCATGGATACGTTGTACTCAACCCAACCTGCCAACAAGGCTGTGAAGTAAAGATGTATGCCCAAAAGAAAAGCCAACATTTCTGATCAAAAGAGGAAACACACCTACTTTGAAACATGGTTTCAACATGGAAACAGGTTTTTGAATATATGCAAATATCACAGCACTGCAGTTTCACCAAGGAGGCTTTGTTTGCATAGTCCAACAAGTCTGCCACTGACGGGAAACTTTCAGTGCTGGCACAAGCTCCAGTTTTTCCACTTTGCCATATTTTGATGTGATAAACAAATTCATTGGCGTATGCACGGCTGTATGTAAACAGGGATGTTAGTGGAATGTTGAGTTTCATTAGCTGTGTAAACAGCATATTAGGAATATTGTCTTTTGTGGAATAAGGTCGAAAAAAACTGAATCTCATACTTTTTCTTTTTACTTTTAGTAGATACTGCAGCTGCCCTTAAAAACTGCTGTTGGATGCAGAATGAACACAATCGGGACAAGCTACTTCCTCATAACATTATGCCTTAAACTTTGACCCTCTTACTCATATATCTGTTACCATGGAAATAAAACAAAATACAGTGTAACTGAGCTTTTTAGAGACAGAGATCAACGCAGAACTCTGATGCTATTTTGCAATTAGTAATAACTGCATACCTTTTAGATTCCAACAATTCAATTCAAGACAATTCATTTTTGTCCTCTGTGGAGGACATTAGTCTAACTAGTGTAACTCAAATATTCTTTATGCTATCCATTTGGGTCAAACTGTGTTCTGAAGAGGACATCCAGGGCTTTCTAATGATGTAGACATTATGTGGGTGGGGTTAACAGGGCAAAGATACACCCTTTTCAAAATGGCTGCCATTACATTTTTCTCGTTTTTTTGCTGCCAGAGTGGTAATTGATCATTTTCTGGCAAAAGTTATGATTATTTTGTTAATATTTAATTAGTTTCCTGAATATAGGGGTCTTAACTTTAATTTAGAGAGATTTCAGAAATCCAGAGTAATTTTAACCTTTTCAAAATACACCTTTTATTCAATGTCCTCTGTAGAGGACATTGGGACTTAGTACCCCCTGTTTTTTAACCAATTTACATGATTCAGCAGGCAGAAGGCCATTAAAGGGAATGACGTTTTTTTTTCTCATAATTTCTAATACATTTTAAAGGTTAGTCAGTGTGAAAGCAGAAATTTGGCTTGGAGTGAGACTCTGAAGTAATGTGTATGCAAGAATTTGGAGGTTTATTGTAAAATAAGAACACCTTAGGTGAACGTACATTCCCATGCATCTATGGTAGGATACTACCTAAAAGGAGGATTTCGAGAAATGTCATGCTTTATTTCCTTTAAACAATGACAATTCTTGCTGAGAGTGGATTCACACATACAATAGTATCTATAAAGCTTCACTCCACTGTTCTTTACCCTTCCTAGGCCACCACACACACAATGGGTCAAACTATGGGGCTCCCCATCACTTCTTATCATAGATCATAGATAGTGAGGGGTGAGTGCAGTTGGACCACCAGGCCCTTAAACCCAGTGGTACAGGGTACTAATCCTGCACCCTGACTGCAATGTCAGGCCCACTGGTATAGCTATTAAGAATACACTCTACCTTGCTACAGCTATCCATCATAGTGTTAAGCATTGAAGACAGCCACATAATAATTCCAGGGGAGTAAAAGTCCTTTGTAGCTCATATATTTAGAGATAAGGCATAAAATACCCCCATTGTAACTCATTTGAAACTCATTGACTAACTCTGGAAATTTAAGACCCGACTAAGTCCCAATGTCCTCTACAGAGGACATGTGATAAAAAATAAATAAATAATATTTTTGATTTTTTTTTTTGATGCAAAATGTTTCTTTCAAGTCTAATACTTAAATTACATAAAACAAATCTTGTTATCAAAACTTTTTTTCTTCTGGGTCCCAGGAGGATACTGCTAGTAATGTTACATAGGCTATACATTTCTCTGTCATTGTTTTTTATTACTAATTACTTATGCCATTTTGTTGTTGGTTATATTTAGAATTCATTTATTCAATTAAACAATTAATATTCATATTTTTACTAATCGAATGGTCATCAGTCACCTTAAAGTGTTGTCATCCATCATTAGGACTTCTGACAGTCAATGTGGCGTAGCTTTTGCAGCAAAGGATTGTGGGTCAGAACAGCCTGAAAAGCAAGCTCGCTTGCATACTGTACAATCGGACCAGATGTAGTAGGACATCCTGTCGTTTTTGGCTGCATTTGACATGCTATGTATTGGGACACACTAACACTATATAGTATGGTAGTATGAGTATTAGCACACACAGAATATTTTGTGCCTTTATCAGTCATTGTGTGCCTCTATGGCAGCGCTTCAGGCAACTGGAGCAGGGGCTCACTGGTACTCAGTGTCAAGCACTCAGGCTCAAGCAGCAAACAGGCAACATGACAGCCAAAGTGGATCACACCTCTGACTTCCTGTGTTCCACCATTAACTATCAGGCTGTCCTTTCATCCTTCACTGCTTTATTTTAGAGACCTCTCCTTTCTTCATCCAGTGAGAACACTGTCACAACAGGACAAACAATCCTCTGGCACAAGAGAACTACCCATTTAAAACATTATGTCCTGTCTGCACTGAAATCTGAACTGTTTCTGCATCAAGTTAATGCAACCATAAAAAAAACCCACACCACAATCACTGAATTCAATTTAAATATAAAATCTACTTTTATTAAATAAACAGCAATAATGGCACCGCTTTGAGAAAAATAACTACACAAACTTAGCAAGTGATGTACATGATGAATAATTGTAAACTGAAGAGCAAGTGAACAAAAATTACCACCTCACGGTAGCATGCCTTCACCAACCCGTCAAGTTGCAGTTTCAACCATGTCTGTCCAGACTCATAAAATACATTTGGTATTTCCCAAATCTATACAATCAGAACAGTTTCAAGGTGGACACCCAACATTTGAGTCACAAATTCAGTATCTGACCAAATGTCCCCCTCTCGTCCTGAGGTATGGCGCTGACTATTGGACAGAAAAGTGTTTTTGCAGAACATTATGATGTCACAGTGAAGTTGACCTTTGACCTTTTGGATATAAAATGTTATCACTTCATCATTTTATCCTGTTAGACATTTGTGTGAAGTTTTGTCATAATTAGTGAATGAATTCTTAAGTTATGGCCAAAAACGTGTTCAATGAAGTCACAGTGACCTTTGACCACCAAATTACACAGACATTTTAAAAGAAGGAAGGGTCATTATGTCATGGTGACAACATTCAAATTTTGCATTTAGCTACACAAAGTGCACATGCTAACTTTGTTCACTGACAAAAAAAAGTAATGTTACAGGTATGTGATAAAGGTTCGTACAAACTGTTGGCAAATAACACCACCTGTTGACAAAAGCAGGAAACATTATGGAGAGAGCTGACCAATGTTTGCCCTACTGAGTATTATTAAATATCATTGACAGCTTTAAGGTTGCTTAGTCTTTGATAATCAAAAACATGCACAATACTACCTGCTGTCTGGGGAAAAAGAGATTGACACTGATGTGCCATTGTATTCATGTCCTACAGAGTGACCTAATGACTCTTCCCTCTTTTAGTTTCCTTGCCAATTTCTAATCAGTTTATCGTTGAGTCCAAGTGAACGCTTGTGCTACATATGAACAATATCCCTGGAGGCGTTCCTGAGATATCTTGTTCATGAGAATGGGACGGACAAACAACCTGAAAACATTATGTCTAACTGCATAAAAACTGTATCTTGAGTGTTTGGGCCAAAAGCTTCACACAAGACGTCACCTCAACCAATCAAACGTGCACTGCAGACAGAAAAACACACCAGTCTCCAAACATTATCTCCAGGTACTGAAATAGTCACTGATTTTCATGTACTTTTGGATTTGGACAATTAAATCAGTGTGGACTGTTACTGAGGACAACAGTAACATCAACACTGTAAACTGTGTTATCACTCCTACATCACACTGTTTATACAACAGTAACAAAAACAACAGACTGTAGTCAAGATTACATTTACCTTTCAAATTGTGTATCTGTGTGAGGAGTGTATTTCAATGTGTCATTAGCTCTGACAGTCACTACAATGTGTCTGAATACATGACTGTCATCAAGTGGGAGTGATACACAGACATGAGGTTAGTGTCTGTGTTGTGGGAGCATTACCTTCACACAACACTGTATTTTAAAAGATCTCAATATTAGGGCAGCACAGTGGTGCACTGGATAGCCCGTCGCCTCACAGCCAGAAGGTTTTCTGTGTGTGTGAACTGACTGTTCCTATGTGTCAGCCCCGTGATTGACTGTCGACCTGTCCCGAGTGTAACCCACCTATTGCTCCACCCCCCCGTGACCCTTTAAGATAGGCAGGCATAGGCCACATTTACAAAGTGTTACATGTAAATATGTGTGTGTACACCTGTATGGCTGTTCTTGTGAGAACCCAATTTTGTCATCTACAGTGAGGTTATGTTTACTAAGTGAGGCCATTTGGGCCAAATATCATGGTGATGGCGACAGTCAACCAGTTTAACACAAAAGCCTGATCTGACTTTGCTAAAACATTCCTTGAACAGCTGCTAAAATTCTATTAAAAGACAATCAGTCTATTAATTAAGTCCTCACAAGATCAGCCAAACCAGTGTACAGGTGTGTAGGACAGTGAGTTGAGTGTTATCTGCGGATCCACAGCCAGACGTTGAGCAGGCAGGCGGAGAAAAGCAGCGAGAACAGGACAACTTCAGTATTCCTCCTGTCAGCGTTGTGCCTCTCAAGTGCCGCCAGCCGGCGACTCATCTTCATCACCTTCACAGTCAGAGAGACGGATGGGCAGAAGGACAGAAAGACAGTCAGAAGGATGGGCAGACAGGATAAAAAAGAGGAGGGAGGCAACCAGGCCTTTCATGGTGTACCTGTCTCCTGAGGATAATGAACTCAACTGCAGCTCCTCCCTCTTCCTCTGGGCTCCAGTTCTCCATGGCCCTGGACACAGACAGGATGAAAGAAAGACAGAGATGAGTAAGAGAGACCATTACAACGACCATACAAGCTCCGCCATAATAACCAAAGTTTTGATATAACTTCAGTACCATTATTAAATACCATATACAGAGACACACAAACCACACTTACACTAAAAGCTAAGCATGCCCACTGACACAAAATGTGAGGGAGTGAAACTTCACGGGGGGGGGGGGGGGTCCATTGTGTTTTGAGGTTTTTATATCATCCTGTAGCTTCCAAATAGTGTTTCTTATCAATTCCAATCCTAACAGTCTTTTTTTTTGGTATGTTTCAGTGTCAACCAGCAACTCCCCTGTGCTGTGAGGTAAAGTCACTATTTCTGTCCACGAGTCTGAGAAAATACGATATAAAACAATACAAGATGTGAAACAGTAGTCAAGTAATTATTTCAAATAGCAAATACACCTGATAAACATATAAAAGTTATCAAACTAACAGTACAGTGATTTCTGTAGCAGCTGTCCACATGCATTATCCTGATTACACCTGATTTCTGAAACACAGAAATGTCTTGTGTTGCTGACAGTCAGTATTTACTACCTGTAGTAAAAAGGATGACTAGCAAAAGTCTTTTACATTTTGATAGTCAGGATGTTAAATGGGCTAGCCTCTTTGACACTTCTGCTTGCATGAAAAAGTTTTTCATTTCAACAATGTAATAAAGTCAAGCCTTTGTGAAAGAATATGATTGATTTCTCTAACAGTAGATCCTCACATTTCAATTCAATTTCAGATTCAAAAAAGACAAAACCCTCCTTGAGAATAAAGCACTTTATTCCGTCAATGACATGGAACTATAAATTAAGTATACATAATGCACAGTAGTAGAAAGTAGCAACCTAAACTTTGAGGTAAACTGTCAGGATCATTTCCTCCACAGGATTAAATGTTTTCTTAATACTGACATTTTATCAGGTAATGGAGCTCACAGAGATCACAGTGTTCATCCTGACACTTCTTCCTGTGGATACTGAGACTTTACTGATGCTGCTGCCCGCTGTGTCGTCTTCTTGATTAAACCATGACACTTGCCCACCTGAATGAACACCTCATCAAATACATGCTCCAGGACAGTGCACCAGGTCAAACAGATGATCTGTAAAACACGTCAGATTCAGTGTTACTTTACACTGTAACATTTTGTCAGGGCCAACAAAGTCCAACTGCAGATACATTTGGCTTTGAATAAACAAAAGGCATGTGTGGTGTGTGGTGATTAAAGTACCAATTTTAAGGTGATTACAGGAACAGGAAAAGTTACAGTCTGTAGTTGTGGCAATAGCTACAATGCAAGATATAATAAATCAGTTTTATGGAGAGAGAAACTACACTGAACAAAAATATAAATGCAACACTTTTGTTTTTGCTCCCATTTTTCATGAGCTGAACTCAAAGATCTAAAACATTTTCTATACACACAAAAGACCATTTCCCTCAAATATTGTTCACAAATCTGTCTAAATCTGTGTTAGTGAGCATTTCTCCTTTGCTGAGATAATCCATCCCACCTCACAGGTGTGGCATATCAAGATGCTGATTAGACAGCATGAATATTGCACAGGTGTGCCTTAGGCTGGCCACAATAAAAGGCCACTCTGAAATGTGCAGTTTTGCTTTATTGGGGGGGTCTGGGGGAGTCAGAAAACCAGTCAGTATCTGGTGTGACCACCATTTGCCTCACGCAGTGCAACACATCTCCTTCGCATAGAGTTGATCAGGTTGTTGATTGTGGCCTGTGGAATGTTGGTCCACTCCTCTTCAATGGCTGTGCGAAGTTGCTGGATATTGGCAGGAACTGGAACACACTGTCGTATACGCCGATCCAGAGCATCCCAAACATGCTCAATGGGTGACATGTCCGGTGAGTATGCTGGCCATGCAAGAACTGGGATGTTTTCAGCTTCCAGGAATTGTGTACAGATCCTTGCAACATGGGGCCGTGCATTATCATGCTGCAACATGAGGTGATGGTCGTGGATGAATGGCACAACAGTGGGCCTCAGGATCTCGTCACGGTATCTCTGTGCATTCAAAATGCCATCAATAAAATGCACCTGTGTTCGTTGTCCATAACATACGCCTGCCCATACCATAACCCCATCGCCACCATGGGCCACTCGATCCACAACGTTGACATCAGCAAACCGCTCACCCACACGACGCCACACACGCTGTCTGTCATCTGCCCTGAACAGTGAAAACCGGGATTCATCCGTGAAGAGAACACCTCTCCAACGTGCCAGACGCCATCGAATGTGAGCATTTGCCCACTCAAGTCGGTTACGACGACAAACTGCAGTCAGATCGAGACCCCGATGAGGACGACGAGCATGCAGATGAGCTTCCCTGAGACGGTTTCAGACAGTTTGTGCAGAAATTCTTTGGTTATGCAAACCAATTGTTGCAGCAGCTGTCCGGGTCGCTGGTCTCAGACGATCTTGGAGGTGAACATGCTGGATGTGGAGGTCCTGGGCTGATGTGGTTACACGTGATCTGTGGTTGTGAGGCCGTTTGGATGTACTGCCAAACTGTCTGAAACGCCTTTGGAGACAGCTTATAGTAGAGAAATGAATATTCAATTCACAGGCAACAGCTCTGGTGGACATTCCTGCAGTCAGCATGCCAATTGCACGCTCCCTCAAAACTTGCGACATCTGTGGCATTGTGCTGTGTGATAAAACTGAACATTTCAGAGTGGCCTTTTATTGTGGCCAGCCTAAGGCACACCTGTGCAATATTCATGCTGTCTAATCAGCATCTTGATATGCCACACCTGTGAGGTGGGATGGATTATCTCGGCAAAGGAGAAATACTTACTAACACAGATTTAGACAGATTTGTGAACAATATTTGAGGGAAATGGTCTTTTGTATATATAGAAAATGTTTTAGATCTTTGAGTTCAGCTCATGAAAAATGGGAGCAAAAACAAAAGTGTTGCGTTTATATTTTTGTTCAGTGTAATTACACAGAACATTTGACTTCGAGTGAAATTTGTGTTGTGATCAAATCCTTGTAAATTCAATATAAGCTCCCTGGGCAAGTGAGACTCAGAGTTGTTTGAAACACATGGAGAATACACGACTGTGACAGGAGAGACCTGGAGCTGCTAACAGTATTCTTTTATATATTACCCTGGACCTAAAAAGCTACAATAGTAGCTACTAAGACTAGAAAGTCCCACAAAATGTTCCACAAAAGGTAACATGAAAAATAGTTACCTACATCCATCCATACTGTTGCTATTTAACTGGCTTCAAATGAGGTTTAATGTTCCCACAGTCTCTCTCTGTATTACTACCTGTTACTGCAACATGGATCCAATCTGTGGGCCTACAATCAAAGCTAGCAGCACAAAATGCTATTGCTAACTTCAACAGGCTGGCCTGCAGAATAAATTGTACAACAATATAAAAATGGAAAAACTTACAGCTTCCAAGTTTGAAGTTGAGTCACAAACAGCTGGTATCGATCCATCATTGAGCTTCAGTTTTTCTTGCTGTGCACTGACCCTCGTTGAGTTTGTGGGGACATTTCAGTCAAAAATAAAGTGAATCCACTGAGTCTTCACATCCTCAGACAATGGGAGTACATGAAAGCTTTTCTGTTTGTTCTTGCAGCAACAACAGAACAAACAGCATGCTTTGCTTGTGTCTTGTTGCCATGTCTGTGATTGCGAGGAAATCTATTATACATGTTTTCTGATGGGTGGGGCAGGAGGAGCAGTGTCTTTATACACCCCGGGGAGACATAGTTATGTTGAAAAACCATTAAAAAGTGCTTTTTGCATGTCACCTTAAATAAATCATTTATCTTTGCTGGCTATCAAGGTGTTACTTCACTTGACTTAATTATTTTTAATCCAGATATTACAAGTGGATGTACTGCTGAAAGTTTCAACTAGTTGTCACCAGACAAGAAGTTTCTTCACAAAGTGACTCAGTCATGTGGCTCCACAACAGTACGATCCCACATACTGTACCCAACGCTAAACGCTAAGTATATTACGGCACAAACGTGAGGTTAGTTTTGACACATAATCACACAGTTTTCCTTTCAGTCACCTTTTGCTGCTGTGCTCCACAAGTGCTGATGCAGGGACCTTGGTCACGACTCTCGCTGGTGGCAGCTTCTCTTGGCTGGGAAATCTTTAGTTCGATAAGATAGACAGAGAAACTGCAGTCTGCTGTGGGTCTCCAACAACATGACATGTAACCAGTTGGGACCGTGCACAGATTTAGCAGCTAGTGAGGGGCGATATTAGCTGAGAGCAAAGCATGAGGCGCACGATGAGAGCGGGAGGTAAAAGCTACCAGCAGTGAGTACAGACGCATCAGTCCGTGAAGCAGATATTGGTTAGTATAGCAGACAGGGTCGCAGAGTTTATCCCTTACAAACATCTGTTGTCACCACTGCATAGGGCTGAACGTTATGGCAAAATAATCTAAATGCAATTTTTTTTGACAAATATTGCAACTACGATTCAGTTTAAGATTTTTTTAAAAGGTTCCTTCTCTATTTTTCACCATACAAAAGCAAAACATCACTCTATAGCAGTTTCTGCCCGATATACAGGAGGCAGTTTGAGAGTTGACAGCGAAATGACAAAAATGCAACCCATTTGTTCACCTGCCATAGCTCTCAATCCCCTGGCTGCGGCATCCTATCCAAACCCAGACCTGTCATCGATAAATTATTGTATTTTGACAGAGCATTTCTATTTTAACAGATGCAGCCTCGTAGCACTAATTTAGCAACAAGGAATCATCCCGTAGTTAATAGCCTATGCTTCCGTACCCTGCATAACCAACTGCATTATCACTTAGCAAAACTCAAGAGGGATGGCAGGTTAACGAGGATGCATTTTGGTTATTTTGCTAACAGGGGGATGGTGTTCCCCCTCATATCACCTACTGCTTACAACAAGTAATGTGTAAACAAGTAGACTGCACTTCAACCAAGCCCTTGACCATTTTCACACTTGGCATTTGGGTGTTTCTGACCCTCTGGTTGGTTAGATTTTGTTTATTTTAATTAACAGCAGCTGTTGCAGTTTCAAAATTGCATTTGAATTTGATTCATTGTTCAGCCCTACCACTGAGCCACATGAAATGCATGTTACAGCAAAGCAGGTGCATGTTGTTTTTTTCCATTTGCACTTGCTGGTTAGTTAACAGAGACAGCAGCAGAAAATATTACAGATTTTTGAGTAAGTTATTCATCAGCAGCCAAACATCTCCCCATGCAAGAACTCTAAATCCACCGTAGGGGTGAAAGCTGTGACTGTGGATCTTTGCCAAAATTCAAAGGGAGAAAGTGTTTCAGAGATGTTAGCCAAGGAAATGTATGAGTAAGAACATGAAACTGAGAGTTGAAGAAGTGACAGGAAGCTAGTAAGAAGCCACGAAAGAGAACACATGTACAACTTAAAAAGTTAAAGCCAAACAAAGATGGAAGCAGGAGGGAGGGGAGAACTCACTTAATGACAAAAGAGAGCGCAAACATTAAATAATGGCTTTTTAAAATTGTTTCTCTTGGGAAAAAACATTTGTGTCCTTGGAGTGTGGAGCTACTCAACAGTCATTCTTGAGAATCGGGACAAAACCTTACTGTTTTTGGTTTTTACTCTTCAATTAGGCTGGGAAAACATATTTTAAAAGATCAAAGTCTTGACTAATAAACCTTGTAACAGGCCAACCAGTGATTTAGGTTTTCTTGATTATGAAACGTAATGGGTGTCAGATGTAAGATATGACAGAGCTGATGTCTTATGGAGTTGATAGAAAGTTAAATATTTATTAATTTCACAGCAGTCGTAGGGAGTAGCCATTTTATTTTTCAAAGTTGCAAAGAGTTCTCTTAATGCTATTCTAAATACTTATATTTAAACCATAATTCTTCTTTAGTTTGGATTTAGGAGGGCTACAGAGTTGAACTGTTACTGTATGGATGAAACATAACTGATTGCAATATTATTGAATGAATTAATCAAAAAAATAGAGAGCTCAGCAGTGCTTTAACAGTATTTACACCTTTTTGGAAACCAGGAAGTGAGACATGGGTCCTTAGGATGTGGCTAACCACTTTTATGCCTGATTAAATTATGTTTTTGTAAAAATCTGATGGAGTTGACAAGAATCTGGGACACATTTAGGGCCAACATTTTCACAAAAAGATGTACTTTAAAACAAAGATGATTATAGCAGTACATGTTTAAACTGATGTTATCAGTATGTACTGTTAGTTTCAGATTTTGAAGGCTTTTAACACATTTTTTAATAGTTTTAATTTGTGAATTCTTGTCTGGGGCGAAGCCGTTTTCTGGCACAGGGTGAGTTTCGAAGTTAAAAAATGAAAGCTGATCAAATATTTTACAAATCATATTCATTGCACATATATAAATCCTTTCAAACTAATGTGTCATCCCAGAAACGAAATTAGCTTGTTAATAAGTTATAATTTTAAGGTATTTGTTTGGTAGGACATGATTTGTCCCATTTCTCAAGAATTGGTGTTAAATGTTTCACTCATGTCGTCAAGTTAATTTCAGTTTGTGATCAGTCTACATTTTGTTTCCTTCTGAATAGGACAAACGTTGAAACTATAAACTTTTATCTGTGCCATCCCAGCCTGTTAAATGACCTGGAACAGTTGGACAATATGTCCCACAGATCCATAAATCTGGGACATCATGACTGTGAGTTTTTGGGTTAGGCTAAATTATTTTAATATATAATTCACGTGTGCCTTTTTGCACCTCTCACTGACACGACAAAGAGTCGTGTTTATGCTGTTTAATTATTTTAAAGGTTCTTATGTGACTTTCACAGCATTATGTGGTGGTTGAGGTCCAGCCATACATGCATGTTCGTGTATGTGACGCCCTGTGTGTATCCAACTGGCTAGCAATTAGATAGAGCAGTAACCGCTGACGGGATAGCGGTGGCACTAACCCACCCTCCAGTTTCCCATCAGGTTAACAGTGTTAGCTCTGTCAATACTGTTGCCGTTATTAATGCTTTTAATGGAGTTAGCACAGTTAGCTGCTAGCCTCCTGTTACATATTTTGATGTTAGATTATGCCGTTTAATAAAAAGTTTGGTCTTTTTGGACTCAAAGTGCAAACACTCGACAGCAAAAGTGAGGGGCTCATTGACATATGAGTCAGACCTGTACTTCTGGCTGACTGTCTGCAGTAGGCGCTGTGAGGCCTTCAGGCCCAGCTGCTTGGCTGTCTGCAGCATGGAGTGTGGAGACAGGAGGCTGGGGGGGGTGTCAGGGAGAGCCTGGGCCTGATGGTCAGTGGTCTGCGTGGAAGGAGAAGGAGTGGAGCATTGCTGGAGTTGATGGCCTGAACCTCGACTAAAGCCAGTGCGGAGAAGTTAAGTGAGGTGGGGAGGAGGGAAAGCATGCCAATATGAGCAGTGGATGATGTTGACAACAAGAGACAAGGAAGAGAATAAGTGAGCAATGAAGGGAGGGATAGCAGGGATCAGACGGGTGGGGGAGCAGTATAGAAAAGAGGAAGAGAGAAGTAAAAGGAAAGGTGGAGAGAAGAACAGAAAGGGGAGGGTTGACAGTTTGGGACATGGAGAGAAGGGGCAAAAATTACTATGTGGGAGGTATAAGCTGATGGTATACAGCACAAAGAACTGCTGCTCATCAGCCACTGTAGCTGCTTAAGATTTCAAAATGAGTTCTGACATTTAAAACAAACTGCAGATCACCAAGACACAGTCAAATACCTGAAGGTGAACACACATCAAACCTCTCCCCTTTATGTGATGCCTTTCAGTTTTAGAATTGACCTCTACAACAGATATCAACAGATATCATCTGAACATTTGATATCTGGGGATACTGGCGTTTAGTCCATAACAATGCCAAACATCTTTTTGTTATCTAAGTTAAACATGTTGTAAGCTTTTTTCCATTCAACAAAATTCACTCTGTTGCTCAATGTGTCTTGATACTGAAAAGAATGACAGGTTGCAGCCCTAAAGAAGCCCAAGAGTCTGACCAAACTTTCAACGCCAACATTCATGAACTTGTCATAAACATTATTTACATGTCATAAACGTTTATGACTGCTGTCATTGAGTGTCATTCGTTTTCTGTCATGACAAGTTGACATTGTTTGGGTTGTCTTGATTATGACAACTTGACATTAACCAGGATGACATTACCAGAAGATTTCTTTATGTTGATGTCAAGTTGTCATTATAAGGACATCCCAAACAAATTTAATGTCAACTTGTCATGACAAAGACAACTTCTGATAATGTCACTTTGATTAATGTCAAGTTATCATAATCATGACAACCCACCCAATGTTAACTTGTCATTACAAAAACCGAATGACACTTAATGACAGCAGTCATAAACGTTATGATATGTACATAATGTTCATGACAGGTTCATGGCCGTGTCATGTCATAGTTATGACAGTGTCATGTCACCCTTATGTAGATACCTTCAAGTAAAGTGTTACCTAGTTTTCACATGAATATCAGTTTCTGTCATAATGGGTACAACTCAACCTGTGAAAACAGGTCTTTGGTGGCTTTGGAGAAGTTTTTGTCAAGTCTGAGAATATATTCCCTGAATGTCATTAACATCATCTCAAATTTAGATTGACAGTTCACATTTTTAAGAAAAAGCCTGTGTTATAAACTGGGGACGTGGAGTTTGAAAGGCGTGTGCTTTGACAAGGCAGAGACAGTCTATTGATAGATACTACTGAGTTGCACAATGGAAAGTACTGTGTTTTTTAGTCTTACTCTAAAGCGTTTTTGAGGACTCCTAAAAGTGCTTCACAAGTGTGACTTACTGTTATTATTATTATTATTATTATTATTATTGTTATTACAGAATTCACACTAAAACTGAAAATAGAACCTGACCTTACTCAGTTGTTGCCAAACATAGCTAAAATTAGATTTTTCCCATCCTTGGCTGATGCAGAGACCTTTATGCCACATGCTGGATGCTGGTACTTTAAATCTTTGACTGGTTCAGAATACTGCAGCTAGAATCTAGAAAATTCAACCATGTTACACCAACTTTAGCTTCCTATCATTGGCGCCTTATCCATTTCAGATCAGACTCTAAAGGTTCTTCTGACGGTTTACGAAATTGATCTGATCTTCTAAAACCTAATATTCTATCCCATGCTCTTCCTTATCAGAGCACTGTCCGTTGCCAGATTTAAAAAGTAGTCAGGTGGCTGCAGGGCCCTTTCCTTTCGTTCCCCTTTCCCCCAAAATAACCGCCCTGCTGTTATTAGATAGTCTGACACTGTTGAGGCCTTTAAATCCAAAAACTCATCTTTTTGTCTCAACTTTCAGTGAGCTGTTTATTCCTCATTTGCTTTTATCTGTTACCATTATCCTTCCAGTGGGTCAGTTTCAGTCTCAATGAATCTATTAATCCTACTACTACAGTCCTTGTTTGTCCCGCCGATGAGAACACTGTTAACTTTCTGAAATCCGCTGCATCTGTAACCTCTCTGTTTGACTGTTTTCCAACAAGCAGCTCTAAATGTCTGGACCTGGATCTTTGTCCTCCAGAAATACAGCCTCGCTATCTCTCTCATCTTCCCTGTCTGTCCCATATAAACTGCAATAAAGCTGAGGTTCACTGACATGATACAAATGGTTAAAAGCCAATAGGCTTTTTGATTCTGATTCGGTCTTCTGGTTACTGTATCACTCCAGGAGCCTCACTTAATTTAAACTCACAGCTAACAGTTATGTAGTCCATGAATCTGACTATTTATAGGGTTCTGTTCCTGTATAGTTATAACACTAACAATGTTATCTACACTAAAAAATCTCTGGTACTATGGTCTACCACTGACACAAAGTGTATAAGTAAGCTTAGAGTACTTACGAGCTGGACGGGTGTCTGGGCAGTGCCAGTGCCTGTTTGAGCTGGGTCGGTGTGCCAGGCGGCGTTCTGCCAAAGCTTTGGTCACTGTAAGATCTCCGTATGGGACTCTGTCATACAGGAAGGGGCATCAGACAGGGAAATGTCTTAACAGCTGTGATATATCTGTAGCATTTAAAAGAAGTAACACCTGCTCTTTATAATTAATAATATAAAGCAGAAAATAAGATGTGGCCTCTAGTTTCACAGCAAGTGTGGGCGGGAGAATGGCAGAGAGACAAGCAGCATTCTGTGCATGTAAGAACAGTCCTTTTCCAAAAGGTTTCTCAGAAGAGGGACCCACATTATATGGAGACATTAAGCTCAGAGTACAGGGAAAATTAATTAAAGACAACTGTTTTGTTGTTTCTGTTTTCAATATTTTTTCTCTTGAATCTGTGAATGAATAAGCCATTTTATTTTCAAACACCATGCACAATGTCTTAGGGTAGCCGTAGCTCAGAAGGAAGAGCAGGTCGTCCACTTATCAAAGAGTTAGCAAGCACTTTGCATGATAGCTCGCTGCCATTGGAGAGTGCGTGTGATTGTGTGAATGGAAGGCAAATTGTAAAGTGCTTAGGATGAAAGCACTATATACTGTAAATGCAGCCATTTACATTTTACTAGAGCAATTCATTTTGTTGGAATAAAGACCTACAATTTCTTTTTTCATTTTCCTCACTCATAGCAGAAACCACTTTACCTGGAATCATTACAGAGGAACTCATATTCAAATGTGACTGAGTGAAAACTAGCTACCTGCAGCACGTCTCTGAAGAAGACCTCTCCTGAAGGACTCTCCCAGCACGGTTCAGCACCCAGAGGGCCACAGATGGTTGGTTTGGACTGAGTGAACAGAGGTCTGGGGCTCATATCAGGGGCTTCTGTAGGGGACACATTAAAACAAATGTTTAAAAAAGAAAGAAAACATTTATCGTCACCTTTTAAGGTAGCAAAGTGTTGCTTTTTTGGTTGTTCCACTGCCCACTATTTCTGCTACTTGGAGATAACTGCAATGAACTTACATTGATACTCTTCGGTAACAGGGGGTAGCTAACAATAGCTCCAGAGGAAAGCAAAAGCACTATCCTCTTCCTGTTTTGGTTGCAGAATAGTTGATGCATTTCCTTTGCACCATAAATGTAACTGCACTAAGTCTGATCTTGAGTACACAGCTGATAGGCACATGCTTTGTTTACCTGATGTTACAGAAGTGCATATAGAACAGATTCAGTGTTGACAGAGAGCGTCTGATGTAAGGACATGATGTAAAGCTGAAGGAAATTCTTTGTGTTTATGTGTTGCTGTTGCCCCAAGGAACATAGGCTAGTGTAATATTTATTTGTTAAATTTCTAATATAGTGTTTAATGTATGTGAGTCTATTGACAGGACTTTTATTTGGAATTTTATATATAAGCAAAAGTAACCTACTTTTGAATAAAAACTACTATTAATGACGTAATTATTTATAAAGTCTGCTTATCATTGTTCAAGCTCAATAAACACAGATAGTATTTGACTGGAATTTCTCCTATTTGTCCAGGACAAGGGGACAGGAAACCTTGCTCTGCACACCAGTTTTAAAATACTGAGAGAAGTCAGAACCTACCTGTATATGTCAGCCTGTCAGGGACGTGCATGGTGTAAGCAGGTGGAGGCTCCTGTGGCCTCCTCATGGCCTCCTCTCCACCCTCCTCCTGCCACTGCTGCCCCGGGGTAACGCTCAGGCGTTCTGGGACACGCATGTTTTTGTTGATGCTCTCTATGAGCACTGGATCCCGTCCAGGGACCTGGGACATCTCGCTTGGGTACAAAGTGAACGCCATCATCATGTGAAAACACCTGTCCAAAAATAAAATTTCTCATTTACTTTGCAGGAAATCTTGAGTGTCTTTCACACGCATTATAAAGCATATTGCTTGTTTGGGTTTTATGTTGTTTTAACAAATGCTTTTAGTAACTGACTAAGGGACATTGAGACACTAAAGATTCCCAATGCACTTGCATAAGTAACTCTGCGGATGTTAATTTAAGTGTGTTGTCTGCTGTACTGAAATAAATTGGATTGGACAGATAGGAAGATTAGGCTGGTTGTAAACACAGCTCAATCAACTGTTAAACGCACATCCAGGTTGTTAAAGAGACCACAGAAGAAAAGGACGGGCTATAATGTTACATAATTAGAATCTGGCTATAAACCCACAAACAGCTCTTTGTGCAGTAGGGGAGACCAGGTGAGTTGGCACACTTTTCACTGTGCAGGATTTCTCTGTCATAATTTATCTTAGAATATTATAACCAGCAGCAAATACAAGTTTAAGGTCTCAGCTAAAGATACATTTGTTTTATGGTCACAAATGTTTTCTATAATTAGGTGATTTGTGATTAAAGTCATGTTGGGGGGTTGGTAGGTGCACGTTGTGGGGTCGGTTGGTGCTGTGTTAAAATGCTGCAGTTACTGAAAAAAACATGAACATTTAATTAAATATCTGCCCATTTCAAAAAAACAATTTCAAGCAATTTCTTAATAGAAATCTATAATTACTTTTGCCATTGACCATTCAAAATAATAACAACTAATTTTATTTTAATTAATTCTAATTTTTAATCTTTAATCTTTTAATCTTCTTTTACAATCCTGCTCAGATTTGACCCACTTTGTGATGCCAAGCAGTGTTAGCCATCACTCATCACAGACTTTAAGATCATTTTCAAAATCTCACAGTCACAGTTCTGTAATATTTTTAGTCCACAAACCACTTTTTTAAACTGTTGCTACTACAAAACTGAAATCTCACCCTCACCAAAAAAAGTTACTTTCAGATGTTTCAACAGTGCAGGGGAAGAAAACAAACATTTTGATCTATGTTTCTGTGACCTCCAAAGGACCAGTGAATAACTAGGTGCCAACCAACCCCAGTCTCCCCTATACATGTGTGTTACGGAATGATATTAAAACATTTCTTCACTGTACATTAGATGATGACAGTGGTGAATTTAAAGTAGTTTCATAGGAACTTTGCTAAACATGACTGGGAAACATTCTTATATTCCACCAGCTAACTGCGATTCAACCACAGCAGACATCTTTATACCATTATACACAGCAGCGTCACAATGACGTCACTTAAAAAAACATTCAAATATGACAGTTCATGTTCTCTTTAACTTTTCTTACTCAAGAAACACACGTTATCACTGTGGCTTTACAAAGTTACTGGCGTTACGTTATTTTAGCCAAAAGTTCATGAGAACGTCACTAACAGCGTTTCTTAATCACTGGGAATGTAAGTTACCGCCCAATGCGACATTTCTAATTCGCGCAACAGCTCTGTTTACACGTAGAAACGCAGCTGATGCTAATATCACCTAATACAGCTGATTAGTTTAGCTAACTTATCTAACGTTAACGCTAGTTAGCCATCAACCTGTTGCAGAGGATAGCTAACAGGAGGTCAAACCTCACAAGTTACGACAGAACACAGGCAAGTAACGTTGTCATGAATAAGTATGTTTAAAACTTCGTAAGAGGTAAAGTAAATCGATATGTAGTGACAAACCTTGACAAGACTTGGTCACTGTGTCAGAGTAGCTGGGAGGATATGCTTCGCTAACATGCCTCTACTCTCCGCCGGTTATTTCTGTACCTCCGGTCTCACCGGTCACAATTAGGTCAAGATCCTTCAAAATAAAAGCGTAGTGTTCGCGACTCTTCTTCTTCGTCTTCTCTGGCGTTTAATGGCGGTTGTCATCCATATAGTTACATTACCGCCACCTACTGGAAGGTAACAGTTTCACAGCGCAAACTTCAAGTGTCCCCTCAGTGTTATGGAGCTACTGTAACATTCAGTGATTCCATTAACAACACTGTCCACACTATCACCCAGACCCAACTGTCTGAGTTGTTACAAATCCTTCCCTCACTGTTATATCTAGATCTTCTCCAGATATGTCCACAATGTCCAAGAATTTCCGGCCAGCTTCCAGCAGCATCTCTTCAGGACCAGAACAAAATTATACTCCAAAAACAAAAAATATAATGCAATTGAAGATTAAATTCTAAATGCACTCATATATCAAAAAGTGGCAATGACAGTAAATGGACTTATCAGACCTTTTTTCAACAAAAACATGAGTTTAATTATTTGCATGAATAGTTAACTCATATCAATGAATAAAATGATGCTTTAAAACACACAGCATATATATTTTGTACTGTAATTGACATCACGACTCAAAATATCCTCAATTCCCAGGGTACCTCCAAAAAACAGCATGTTGAAAACTTCCTGAGATTAATATTCTATACCTAAACAATAGGATGCATTATAAGCTGACTGTATCATTAGGAAAATCAAAACAGATCAGTATTTCCCTCCTCATTTTCTATTGACACTCAGATTCTCAGACACTTAGATAAACCGGTATGTTAAGTTTAAGAAATATAAAAATATGTATATTTGCCACAATATTGGATACAATACATATTTCAATAGAATAAAAGTAAGAAACATGTACAGTATGTGCATTACATGTTAAAATATACATTCAAGAGGTGTTGGTGAGAATAAATTAGTATACTGAAGAATATTGCACAGTTGTTGCCCAGAGCACTGTGGCACAGGAATTATTGCACCAGTTATTACACAGTATTGCATAATTAAAGGATAACTTTTTTTTTATTTGTCAACGTGGACCCTATTTCCCCATGTAAACTGGTCAAAGAGACTGATGTGAACAACAGTATTTGTTATTGGTCCAGTACTCGGCAAGCGGACAGGTGTCAATGCAAGGTAGTTAAAAGTGACATCTCGTGACATCTCATGATATTTCACAATCAGACTTCCACTTAACGGGACAGTAACAAACAGACTCTGACAGTTTGCGAGACAGTCCCTCTCTCTCCCCCCTTCACGCTTAGCTGTCCTGTCAATTAAAGCCTAAAATGCCCCCAAAAATATTATAAAAACAAAAAAATAGTCTGATAAATTAGGCTTCTCACTTGTGATGACCTACCCTAACAAAAACATTGTTCAATAGCTACTTAGATTAGATATGTGTGAAAAGAAGATAATCTACCTGTATAAGTTAAATATGTTTTTTTCTGCTCTGATCGTTCTTACTTTCACTTCCTTTATTCTCTTTGGACTCTGTGCTGATCTCACATCATGGTTTCAGGAACTGTGCTAGTTCTGCGTCTTCTTTGTACTCCTCCTCACAACAATTTTCCTTCCAACATCTCCTACATTTTCTAATTCCTCTACATAGTGCAGCAACATGTCCAGAAACAAAAACCACAGCCACAGTTTTTGCTTCCCGGCTCCTGATCCAGCACTGGACCTTGGGTGGCAGGGCTCTTTCCATACCTATCTCCTTCCTGTTGAACTTTCTCCCCAACCACTTACATGACTGCACCAATATTTCTGTCTTCAACAAGTAACTCAAAACTCATCTTTTTAAAACAGATTGTCAACACGGCATTCATCATTTAATCACTGATTTATTATTTTTTGAGGGTGGCATGATGGTGCAGTGGGGAGCACTGTTGCCTCACAGCAAGAGGGTTCCAGGTTTGAGCCTGCTTGGTGGCTTGGGCTCTTCTTTGTGGAGTTTGCGTGTTCTCTTCGTGTCAGTGTGGGTTTTCTCCTGGGTCTTCAGCTTCCTCTCACCGTCCAAAGACACTGTAGGTGTGATTGTTGGCATAAATGTTTGTCTGTGTCAGCCTTGTGATGATCTGGCGACCTATCCATAGTGAACCCCGCCTCTCACACAGTGTCAGCTGAGATAGGCTGCAGCCACCCAATGACCCTGAAGAGGACATGCAGTTACAGATGAGGCTTGTTTGCTCTTTATTCCTTGTGGTCGTGTCTGTGGTGGACCTTTATCACTATAATTATATTTATCATTACCTGCAACACAAACAGATTATAGTGAATTGTTTTTTTTCTTCTTTTTTTTAACAGAATGTAAAATAAAATCCCCACACTGTTAAAATATTATATCAAACATCAACTGTAGGTATCCTTTATTTATATGCACCAATACAATATGGATACATTACATATGAACACTGAATATAATAATGGAGATCACTGAATGAGAAAGACTTTCATGTGGAGGTGGACGTGTTTTTAGCATGGAGACAGTTGAACAATGTGCAATATAAACAGAGGTCTTCTACATTCTCTGACACTCAAGAGGAAAGAAAACGCTGCCTGCACCACACAGCTACTGTACCCGTTACAGCTGAGATGGATTAGAGCTTCCCCAGCTGTCCAGCTCTTCGTTGTAAGCCAGCCAATCATAACCCACCAACAGTCAGTTTGTGAACGTGTCCAAGGCTGACAAACACATTTATATCTTAGCTCAGTGATGTTTGTAACCAGGGACTGGTACTTGATCAGTTTATCAGAGAAAGCTTCGACCACGTACAAGTGGAAAACAATGACATTAAACATCCTGACACTTCCCTGACAGCAGCACGCACACACACACAAACTCTCATAAACCTGTACACACATATTGATTCATTTTGCTTTGTGAGCAAAGGTGAGAAACTGGTGGCTTTAGACTTAGAGTAACAATCAGGAAGAAGGAACCACAAAATTAAAGGTCTACAGTAAGTGACTGTGAAAAGCACTGAGGATTTCTCCTGAAATACAATAAGAAACAGTAGATATGTCCAGAATATAAAGGAAGACTACAGGGCACATGTCAGCTCACACATCACACATCCAAAGAAACATGGACACAGAGTGTCTCCAGTGTGCACCCATCCTCATTCTCTCTCTCTCTCTCTCTCTCACTCACTCACTCACTCACTCACTCACTCACTCACTCACTCACACACACACACACACACACACACACACACACACACACACACACAGAAAACAATACTTTTAACAAATTGAGTGCTGGAATAAACCCAACAATCTATTTTACTTTCTTGTTGTCATTACACCGTGTACATAATTAACCAGTAATTATACAAATACACTACACATAATAAACCAATCTTACCAGGAACATTAATCATATTTTACCATTTTGAAAGGTAAGTAAGAAATATTCCTCAGCCAAAATCTGTCCATCTTACATTTTTTCAGCTAGGTGTACAAATTTTCCAGTGTTAAAGCTCTGATGTTAACTTTAGGGTGGCCAAAATTAAAGAAACATCTTTTGGATGTCACTGTATGCACTGCAATAGAACCAGTGTCAGGGAGAAATGAGTTACATGTAATTAAATTACAAAATAAATGTAACTATAATCTGATAGTTACCTAGCAAACATGTAAACTACAGTCACTAATCGAATTTTTGGTGTTTACAAAGGGGTTACATCAGAATATATTCCCCTCGGTACAAAGTTTATATGTAGAATATAACATTCATTGTGTTGCCTTGCATCTTTTGCCCTGCAGGAATCCCCTCTTCTGGCAGAGCCTATTTCTGGACTTTTTTTTTTTTAGCTTTAACTCTTAGTCAGTCTTGACAAAAATCTTAAAGTTAAAAACCTTCACTTTGTTAGTATTGATTGCAGGATTTGGGTAGCATTTATGAGCCACATGTGCATGGTGTGAAGCTTTTTGTGACGACGCTACAGGCTGCCCACTTTGACATATTAGAGCAAAGCAGGGTGTTACAGTGGTTTGACTGACAGAAAAGTCACTGGTTGGATCCCAGTCACGTTGATCTTTTTGTGAGGTTCCTACATACTTGGCGGTGCCAGAGTCCTGACACTTTCACACATACTGGTTCTTTGTTGCAGCTAAACTAGCTTGCGGTGCAGTAAACTATACAGTGGTAAACCCCCCAGGAGCATCATGCTGCATTATATGCTGCATTTGTACACCTAGATTTTAAAAAAAATCCCTCTTGCGCTTAGAGTGACAGTAAAGCAGCAGTGCAGGGGGGGATATAACAAGATGGTGTTCTTCGCTGGTCACACTAGAATCTGTACTGAAGCTGGTGATGCGGTCTGGCTAGACCTGCACAGACAGCACAAAGTTGGCTGCTTGTAAAGGTGGATGAAGTACAAAATTTCATCCACACAGCTTTGGCTGAAAAATATCTAAAAAATTAATTTAAGTTTTTAAAAAAAGGCCAAGTGAAAGTATACGAGAGCAGTACAGTTATATTTAAATATATAATACATCCATTTTGGTAGAAAGAAAAAATCAGTTTTAAGTGAAACATACAGAATCAATCACTCATTTATTATATTTGAAACAGTGAATACTTGGTTTTGGAATGTGTTAAAACAAAGGCCCATGTGAAAGAGTTGCAGTCTGTAGAAAAAGGCAGTGAATAACTTAGCGTACAATAGGATACAAAAATAAGCCACTGGCAGAAAGCTGTAAGTGCACCTTATCAGACTCGGTGAGGTAAAACTCCACTAACATGTCACTATAATGTAAACATCACCGGCAAAATATGAACACTCCTTGTCACTGAAGCACAGACTGAACATGTGACTCTTAGTCAATGTGAAGAATAGGGAACCATCTAGAAACCATGGCAGTGTTGGTGCCTTGCAAATACAGCGTAAACACAACTAATCCTGCTGTAGAGCATCATTTGTTTTTCAGTCATATACATCCATTTTTCACACATCAGTAATATTTAAAGCTGCAACAGGAGCATTTTACATTTGTATGCAAAATTATACCATACTGCCTCTCATGATTTATGAATGAGGCCTAATCATGTGTACTTTTCATCATGGCTAACCATTTTGCAAACCATGCTGCTGTTTTAGATTTTTTATGTTTTTTTTTCTTACCGCTCCCTGCATGTATTGGTTTCTATCAGCGGGCGGAGTTAATTAAGACTTCGGACCCTTGAGAATGTTAGAGAATACGACTGAATATGAACAGACAGGAGACGTAGCCTACACTGATGCTGCTGCAGATACACATACCAGGAGCGGCTGTTATTCTGTAAACTGTTCGGCTACAGGTCAAATTATATTCCGCTCTCCTCCATATTTAACAAACCTCATTGATGTCTTATATCATTATTTATCCAAAGCAAAAAAAGTCTTGATCAATCCATCAAACTAGAAACAAAATACAGTTTTGAAGATCTGAAAAAGTGTTAGCGTCAAAAAATTCAGTGTTGCAAAAAAAATAGTGTGAAATCAAAAAAACATCAAAAAATCTAAAACTGTTCAGCTTGAATGTGAAAATGGCCTGCAAAAATCTAAAGAACACATTATTTAAATTTTGTAAACACTGCAGGAAAAAACTTGCATGGTTCTTGAACAATGTTAATCACACAAGACAAACCCTCCCCTCTGACTGAGACCTTTTAGTATTTATCCAATGTGTCTCCTGACAGGCAGCAACCAAACACCACATCCACTCTTCACCAGTTTTCCTCATGTTAAAAGATTTATAATCAGGAAGGAGTACGTCAAACATTTATAACTTTAAATATCTGCATCTCATCCCAGTGCAGCTCTAAACATCTGTCAGCATTACAGACTGTCATGTCTCCAGTGATGGTGAGACCGTGTCTTCAGACTTTGTAACATTATTATTTACAGTTATTTACTTTGATTGTATCTGTTGTCCACACAACTATACTGTTACACTAACTGCAAAAACAAAATACAGCCGCAACCGGCGACTTCAGGGTTCAAGCCAACATGGACCGTTAGAGGTTAAAAGCTGCAAAGTTTGACAGTTTCTGATACCTGCATTAAAGAAAGCTAACAGGTTTTATGACCATCAGACAAACGCTCATTCATTTACAAACAAATCTGTGCTGGGCCACGCTCTTCTTTGGCAACACTGTCATCCCCTATTGAGCAACTGCAAAAACATTTCAGGGACATGCTTCAACAGCTTAATTAAAAATATCCACCGAGGATGATGTTTGGATAAACTGTCATTGATTTATGATCCAATGTTGCGCCAGACCAATGCACTGTTTGGAACCGGTGGCATCCCCTATTGGGCGATTTCAAAAATATTTTACACATGTGTTTAAACATTTTTATGTAACATATCCTGAGAGTTTTGCAATGATTAGACAAACAATTTCTGATTTGTGGCCTGATTTGTGTTACGCCACACCCATTTTTTGTAGTTGTGGCGCCCTCTAGTGGTCAATTTGAATGTAACTTTCGGCGTATGTTTAAGGTACTTATGTGGACATAAGGCCAATTCACAGTTTCCACATGTGTGTCCCTGGAGATAAGCTTTGGTCCATGTGATGTAAATCTCGTCATCAACCCTAGTTCACGAGGGTCCATGCAGACCCCTGTGGGGATGTTCAAATGCAGCCCATTTGTTGTGACCACGAGGACTGTAGGCATAGTAAGCACGGCAACTGCTCATGCTCCAATCTCTTGCTCAACAGTCCAGTCCAGTCCAAAACACTGCTTTCAAGCCAACCACAATGAAGTTAGTTTCAAGTTAGATATCTGACAGATATTCACTCCAGACCCAGCAGCATCACTTAGTTTCACTTTCACCTGGCATCGTCTGCAAGAGGAGGGTAAGCTCCCCTCCCAGCCTTTCTGTTTACCACCGGGGGCTGAAGTAGATTGTCAGTTTCACTAAAGATAGAATTTAGTTCGTGTCGGTGTGACCGCACCTCTCCGTGGATGTTCAATGCAGAAAGTATGTCCGAGCCTATATCATGCAAGTTTCGTGACGACTTGCCCAATGACTGTGGAGTTAGGTCTGTTTATGTGCTAAGCCACACCCCTTTACAGTTCATTGGTCTAAATCTTCAGAACAAAATGTGATATCAATAAGCTTTTTAAAAAATTGATAAGCTCGGTCCAATAATGATCCATAAAAAATTTAGTACAATTCTAACCTGGGAGGAGATGCCCAAAATGGCAGAAAATCTAGTCAGGTGGACTTTTGGGCTTGAACCCCTAAAAGAAATCCAATAAACTGTGAAACATAACAACTATAAACAAGGTAATTTTATAATATCAGGACTGAGGCAAACACAGTTCAATCCACTCAGCAACTGCAACAAAGGTGCTCAACTGACTCATCGTACAGTGGAGTGTAACAGAGCTGGGACTGCTGATTGTGCTCTTTGTGAGCGTGCGTGAATGTGCATGTGTGCATCTACACACATACAGTACATGAATTTAAATGCACATAGCACATTCACAGAATTAGGGCTGTATATGTCTGAACTACCAGGACAGTCATTTACAGAGAAGCTCAGGGATTTAGAGGATGAAAGTTTTGTGACTGTCATAATAAGATAGTGATTCTTCTCATTGTGTCAGAGTACCTCTGAGGTCCACTCATGCTTTCATGGTAAGCAGGAGTTTGATTCTCTACTGCTGTTCAGCTTTGTGGGGCTGAATGATGTATTCACCCTTGCCTTGGTTATTTTCATTATGAATTATCATATGAATCAAACAGTCCAAAACCCCAAAGATATTCAATTTTTGAAGATATAAAACAGAGTAAAGCAGCAAATCCAGCCTTTGGAGAGACTGGATTAAGCATGTGTTGGAAATTTTGCTTCATTAATGACCTATCAAAACTGGTGTCAACTAAACTTTTCAGCAATCCTAACCCATACTGCAATCACAACAAATATGCAAGAATTGAGAGGGTTGACTCAAAACAACAACCCTCCATTAAATTTGTCAATACAAAGCTCCCACCATAAATGTTTGGTCAAATATTAACACCGGTGGTCACAGTAAGGTAGCAGGTATGGTTAAGTGTTAAGACAATGAACATTTGGCAACAAATAAACCTGCCTCTATATGGCACAGCGCTGGTGAAATGATTACTAAGAACTCATAGCATCAGTCTACACACATTTGTAGTCGTAGTGATGGTGAGGTTGTGAGAAGGAAGCACAACTGCAGGGATTTCCTCTCACAGCAGTGAACAACAGCTGGTGTGTGGAGGTGGTCAGAAAACCTTGCAATGATCAAGATAGTCAATAGTGCAAGTATTAGGAAAGTAAATGAGCTCAGTCTTGTTGGTAGCTGAATGATCTAAAGTGGAATAGGGATTTAGCATTAGAAGATGTATCTTATGGGTCTTTCCTTTAAGGATGAGAAGTGCTTTTTAATCTCGCCTTCACACGAGAGTCACTTTTTTATTTTATCTGCAAAAACCAAACTTGTAAATGATCTAAAACAATAAACCATGATAATATCCAACTAAACGACAGCTGTGACTCAAGGTCAAATACTTCCACTACTGACTGTGAATATACAGTTTAAAGTCATATATGCACACTGCCAAGGAAACCTTACAGTCACAGTGACTGCTCTGCAAGTGTAAAAGCCCAGCTGCAGCATGGAGCTTCATTGCCACCTCAAATTGTCCTGTCCGCTTTTCTGGCCTGCTACAAGGGCCAAAGATGGATCAGTGAGCATCCTGCTTGCCAGACCCTCTCCATGTATCTCACTGCACCTGCACCAGGAACACAGTCTGCCATTCAGTTTGCCAAAGCAAAATGAAGACAAGGAAATAAAATATCTGATTAGGTGTTTAGGGTCAACTATGAACAATAATCCTGGGTGGCACATATAATCATGGCAGTGACTGGCTTTAGGTTGCACCTATGAGTGAAACAAAGGTATGGTGCAGAAAAGTGGGAATTACAACATGGGTTACAGCAACCCACAGCCAGCAGCACCAACTGAGGCAGAAGCTGCTCTTCTGGCAGCGCTGACCTCCTTCAGACACAGCAGGGGAGCAACAGCCATGGCAGCATTATTGTTGCCTTGGTTTCATTTCTCCTTTATAATCTCCTCATATTTGGGTGGAGGGTCGCTGTATGAAGGTGCTGAGGTCTCGTCACCACTGCTTTCCAGGTGTCCTGTCACCTCTTCATAAGATGGAGGTGGTGTTGCGCCGGACAACCGTGAGGCCACTGACATAGAGGAGTCCTGGACATAAAGGGCACAAGTGTTCTGCTGGTGGAGGCCACGAGAGTCCGACTGGGAACCTGCTCCTCTCTCAGCACCGCTCACCACCACAGTGGGACGTGAACTGGACTCCTGGTGTGAGCTTTCACTATGTGCTTCCCGGTGAACCAGAATTCGTGGCAGACTGCGGGTGTTGCGGTTGTTGGCCAAGTAGCGGTTTTGGGTGTAGGCGGGGCGTCGACGAGTGGCCTTCTGAAGCTGGCACCTCCAAAGGAGGAAGAGGCCGATGATGATGAGCAGGGCCACTCCCAGCAGAGGTACCACCATGTAGACGGTGTCGGCACGCTCAGAGCGTCCCTCGCTGTTGCTGCTCACCGTGTAGACGCTGCGAGTTTTCCAAAACTCCATCTAGAAAGCACAAAGGAGAAATTATACATGTTTACTTCCTGGGTAGATTTTAAGATGTTTGCTCAATTTAAACTAAGGATAAAACTGAAACTGACACTAAAGTCAGAATAGGGGAGATTTTTATTACTGATCAGCATGTATACATGGACTTTACAATAACCAGAGGGGTGCTTAATAAAGCATTGCATTACAAATTTGCATCCAACATTGGCATGGGATTAGGAATATCAACGGTTAACCATTAACCAGTCAAAAGCATTCGATAGTTAACCGCCAAGAACATTTTTGATTGGTTACATATCAGTCTATAGGTTAATTTTGCTACTCTTCAGTTTACTGCACTGCCTATCACCTGGGTCTGGTGGGAGCTAGCTAGGATAGGATAGGGAAATGGTCAACTTCAAAACCACTTTGAAAATTCTCCTCCTGCCAATTCTGCTACCTGGCCAGTCAAGGTTTTCAATGTAAACATCAGAGTTAACGCAAAGGAAAAAGCGGAGAAGATAGGCACCAGCTATGACCCTAACCACACAGAAAAGCAAGACTATGGCCCCTTTTACACTGCCAGATTTTCGGCGAATGTTGGGCCGTTTTGCCGGCAAGCTGCAAGCATTTAGACACACAGAGCTGGATTGGCGAGTTGATCCGAGGTGCCTAATTTTCCGCCTTGTAGGGTAGTAATATTGGCGGAACCTTTTTGGTTTAAAAAGAACGAGGCACCCTTCCGCCACAGGAGGGGCTGTTGATGACTTGTGGGAGGAGCTGTTGATGACGCCGCACGTGCGATCCACTGGCGGTGGACTAAAACAGCTGATAGCAGGAATGAGCAGCTAGTAGCAAGAGGGAAACGCAAACCTGACAGACACTGTAAAGATGAGCAACTGGGGAGACAAAGAATTGCGCGCCCTCCTTGCCCTCGCAAATGAAGAGGCCATTACCGGTCCAATGACAGGAACGGTGAAGGACGGGCCAACTTTTGAGAGAATCGCAGAAGGACTGACCAGCCGCGGCTTCCCTCGGAGTACGTCATTGTTTACGTCACACACTGAGCTACATGTTTTGTTACTTACTCACGCCCCCCCAGTGCCCCGAAAAAGGCACATTCTTTATAAACAAAAGTAGGCAAGCAGCATTTCGCTGCACCCCCCGATTTTGCTGAAGGAAGACTGATTGGGCTTTCCTGCAAATTTGCACAATTCCTACTTAAAAAGGGGTTATGTCTGTGTTCATTTCTGCATTCATCTCTACATCGGAGAAGGCAACGAGACAAGTGTAGAGGAATTAAACACCGGCTGCGATCCTGGCCACATGGATCCTCTCTACCAAGCTTTTAGCTGATGTACAGGCATTAGATAATAAACTGGATGACCTCTGTGCCGGCATCAGTTTCCAACTGGATATCAGGAACAGTAAATCCTTTGTTTCATTTAACTTGCCTAAAACCTGGAACACCAGACAGCAACATTCAACCAGGTAACTCTTTTTCTATATGCTGATCTGACAGAACAGAGGGCTCTGGCAGGAAAAGAGGAGGAGGCGTGTGCTTCATGGTGACAAAAAGTGGTGTGACAGTTAAATATAAAATGCTATCCCATTCCTGCTCACCTGACCTGGAGATATTGACAACCAAATGCAGACTGCAATTTCTACCAAGGCAACTGACATTGGTCAATATTACAGTGGTCTACATTCCACCATAAGCAAATACAGAGGCTGCCCCGGAGACTTCAATCAGTCTAATCTTAAAGGTATACTTCACTCGCCAAATGACCATTTGTATCAGTTTTTCATCCCTTTGGTGAACCTGAACTAACCCTTTAAAACAACAAAGTCACATATTAACACAAGCTGACTAACTGATCGAGGCAGTGGTTTATCAGCAGCTTCCATGTTCAGTAAGGTAAAATTACTGTTGTTGTTGTCTGGCTTTGAAGAGAGCAGAGACTTTAGCTCAGTTCCTGTTGGAAAGGTCTGTCTGACACCCGCTGGTGTCAGGACAACAACCTTCTCCTGATTGTCAACAAAATTAAGGAGATGATGGTGGACTTTTCAAAGAAGCAGGGAAGGAACTACGACCCTTTTAATATTAATGGGTAATTAGTAGAGAGGGTGGACTTCAAGTACCTTGGTGTCTACATCACCAAGAGCCTGACCTGGGTGCTGCATACTGTCTTAAGAATAAGTAAGGCAAGGTAGAGACTGTTTCACCTCAGGCGCTTGAGGAAATTCCAGGTATCCCCTAAAATAGTGAGGAATTTCTACTCCTGCACCATCAGAAGTCCTAACAGGGGACATCATTGCCTGGTATGGAAACAGCACTGAACAGGACCACAAGGCCCTGCAAAGAGTGCTTCGTTCAGCTGAACATAAAATAGGTACTGCTCTGCGCCACATTAATGATGTTTACACCAGACACTGCAAGAAAAAGCCCAGGAGAATCATTAAAGATCTCAGCCACCCAGATATCTGCCTGTTCTCTCAGTTGAGGTCGGGAAGAAGGTACCCTATGTGATTTCATGTGACAAATAAAAATGATTCATTGACATTAGAGCAGGTAGCACAATAAGAACAGTTGCGAGGAGGCATTAAATAACACTTGTCTAGCAAAACATCTCTTTTTGTGCTGTGTTGACCAGAGCCATATCTTCGGCTGACTTAGGTAATAGGTCTTAAAATCTTTTAATGCTCCCACTGTGGATGATTAAATGGTCGGGCGGAAGGGATTTTATGATTAGGCTTTCCCAGCCTTTTTGTGATGTTGTATGTGGTTGTACATTTGCTTTTGACTGTCATTATCTATGAATCCGCTGCCATACAGCAGACTGTGCAAGTCTTTACAGCAGAGCATTTCTGTTAGAAGTCAGGGCAGATAGATAAACATCATTCTTCCTCGCTTTTACTGTGTTTCCTGCTCTAATACATTTTTGTTCTTCCTTAAAAGCTTGTTCTTTCACTGCATTTTACTTTGCTGTCTCTCACACACATTAGATTTTTTAAATCAGTGTCCTTCCTTGTAACGTGGTACGTCATTTATTGATATAAACATGGCATAGTCATTGTTACTGTAAAAAACAGATCACAAAGAGGCCTGAATTGAGTTTATGATTACATTTGGATTAATCGTGCAACACGTGTGCAGTGTTCATGTAAACACAGTGGCTATTGAAGGGCTTTCATTTCTACAGTTATCTGACAAAATGGTAATAGTTCTGTTACGTAGATGCTGTCTCTACTCCAGCCATCACTGTTCAAATACATTAGCATAATTGCTGGAGGAGTTGGTGCACACGCTTGCTGTGCGCTGGCTCACCGTTCTCTCTTTGTTCTCAAACACTTCATTGGCCTCTTCGAAGCTGCAGCTCTCTTCACCACACTCCCTCTCGATGTTCCCCTGTCTCAACTCCTCAAGAAAGCCATTGGCTCGAGGGAAACGCTTCAGGATGGAGTGAGCATCCTTACCATCCAGGAATGCTGCAACACAGACATGAGACAAAATCCAAAGTTCATTTATGTTACTCAACAGCATGTAAGACTTATTTACATAGAAAAACTGTTTTTTTTCACCCCTGTACCTTTCAGAGCTCCCACACATTTATCTCAAATGGAGCGAGTTACCACTTTTTGACAGAGTGGTGATATTCTCTTGTACTGCTCTCCATCAATCCACGTCCTCAGCCAACCCACAAACGTTATCATAGTGATCATCGTGATGAACCCACACAGAATTATCACCAATTCTTCAGTGCCTCTCAGCTCTACAGATTTTCTTTGCCTCTTTCAGCTCATTCTTTTGATTTTGCAGCCCACAACTTTAGTAGTTGGTTCAGTCCTACTGCTTTCATCAAGTAGCAGGCAGCTGGTTTCAAAGACAAAACCCACTGTGCACTACCTTCTCAGCACCAAACAGCATGCAGACAGACTTAAAGACGAGCTGTTAGTAGAGCATTTAGCAGCTAAATGGACAGATATTCCCCCAGGCACTGGTGAAGACCAAAAATAGGAGCTAAAAGAAGAGTACATTTTTGGTGAACACACACTGCTCCAAATGAATTCTTATGATGCTCCTTAACTGCTGGATGTGTAAATAGGCAGCTGTTTACCAACACTTCCCAATATTAGCTTAAAAGTGATGTCAGCTTTGTGTTTACAGCTTGTTTCCACTGCTAACTAAACATATAGGTTTATGCTCATTTTTCACAGTCAACTCTTCAAATGACAAGAAAACTGTTTATTATGAACACTTGAGTTTAAAGGACATTACTTCAGATTCCGAATTAATTTATATCCAGACTTCTAATGAGTCAATTGTCTGAATCCAATAAATTTAAAGTGAGAATAGCTGTAACACATTTAGCAAGAAGGTCAAACAATCCGAGTTGGCCCAATTCTAGCACAGAGGTTCAGAATTTTTTGACTTCATCAGGCCAAACATAATAAACCAGCAAAAGGAAATTCCATGCCGCATCCTACATGGAATGCCTGCTCTATCTAATAAGCCACGGATGCCTGTTGTTAACCATTGTTAATGAGTTGAGTGTTGGTGTGAGTTTGTTGGAACCCTTTAATGGCACAGTGTTGGATGTTAGCTGCTGTTTGCTGGTGCAAAAAGGATCAAATGCAGGTGTTGTTTGACTGGAGTTTCAACACTACTTGTTACTGGGTTATTTTGGTCAATACCTTAAAGGTATCAAGGACTGATACCTGACCCTACCAGCCATTACATGTCGAACTATAGCTGTGGAAAGCATCAGATTAGTGGCAATTGGTAAATCTGGCCCTGAATCAGGTTGTGACAGGTAATGGTATTTTTGTTTACTGGATACTACAAATGACATAATGACCAGATCCACCACTAAAAACCTGCTCCCACTAAGTGATACACACAGAGGAGCTGCTTCTGTTGGTGATGTTAGAGGAAGAGGCAGACAGCCAGACAGGAAGACTGATGGACAGCAACAGCTGTGTGTGTGTTTGAGAAGAGGTTGACCTGTTTGACAAAAACCAAATATACAAATATTAATAATCTGAGCCAATGGATGTGTGTGTGTGTGTGTGTGTGTGTGTGTGTGTGTGTGTGTGTGTGTGTGTGTGTTTTGTTCTCACCAGCAGCCATGCTTCTGCCCTGTTACTCACACTCCAAAAGACAGCAGACCTGCAGGGAGAACACAGCACTGCATTAGACACCATGACTGACAGAATTATTTAACAAAGGGACTGGATCACTGTCCAGCAGGGTGATACATCCTCCACAAGAAGAGACATTTTCACCATCTCCACTTGGATACAGTAATAATACATTTCCTGGCATCTAAACAGCCTAACTTGCCCAGACATATAAGCTGATATTCATGTTCAAGTGTAATAGCTGTCATTTTAAATTTGGCTTACACCAACAGCCCAAACCCCCGCCTTCCCACAAAAAAAGCGTGTTGGGGTTAAAGCTTTAGTAACACTTATAAAAATAGGTTCTTGTCATATTTGCTATAATGGTCCCAACAGTAGTACATGAGACAGATAATCTGTGGAAAAAAATCATTTTCTTCCTCCTCTTAGGGATTCTAATGGCATTTGCAAGAATCCAGTGCAGGTAAATGAAACAACCAATTAGAGCTGGGAAGGTAGATCTCAATCACATCAATTACTGCTCATGAACTGCTGTCAAACTGTCAAACTAGGCAGCAACAGAAACATATTTCAGTGTACTGTTTAGAACCGGTGACTGTGTTGGAAACAGTCTAGCCAAAACAAAGCATCACCCATCGGTCAGAGCAGCTTAACAGTACGCTAAAATATGTTTCTGAAAACAGAAGGTCAGAAATAGTCAATGCAGTGACAGAATCTAGACTCACGTTTGATCAGCTAGTTTGAAAGTCTGACCGCAGTTCACGAGCAACAGTAATCATAATGGACAGCTGCTTTAGAGACTCCTTGGTACTGACTGGTTGTTTGTTCAGCCATGGTGGGTCCTGCAAGCAGCATTTAAAGCACTATGAGAAAGAGGAGCAACACAGATTATCTGTCTCATGTACTACTGTCAGGAATGGTTTTCTTTTACAACTTAGATATCATTTTTGAAGTATCGAGAGTTTCACAGTTTTTGACCAGTCTCTCATGACAACGACTTTTCTTTTATATTTTATGACGAAAATTAGATTATTGTAAACTAAGGTCATTTCAGCAGGATGCTAAAATACAAGTGTTTGTAGCTTTCAGTGGCTTTATGGAGGTCATAGTTTGGCTACTAATGCAAAGTTTCACTGTAAAGTGATAAATAAAGCAATGACACAGATGACTATTGGAATTTTGCTATGTTGGTCTACTCTGTAAAAATAGCATCTATCGCATGTCTGTCCATCTTGGAGGAAAAATCCCTCCCTTCCAAAAGTTTTTTTTCATTTTTTTTCTATTTTAGGGGAGTTTTCTGTTATCTGAATTTAGGGTTGGAGGAATGAGGATGTTGTATGCTGTACAGATTGTCAAATTTGTGATAATGAGCTAAATACATAAAATCAACTTCAATGATGAAAATGAAACTGCAAAATTTGTGAACCATCAGCCTGCACGCACATTAAATAGTATTACACTTTGTACAGTTATTATTGGATAATGTCATAACAACACCCAGAAACCTTGAGAACAAGTCTTGACTGAAAAACGCAAGACACTGGCACAAAGGCTAAACAGTGCTGATTAGCACAGGATTAATACACAAAACAGTTTAAGTGTTTCTGTGATCATATGGTGGCTCAAACAGCTCATATGCTCATGGTAGAAAATGTATCCTGACTGCCGTCAAACACTTGACCTGTCTCCAGTTTCAGAACAGATTACATCAGACACTTAATTTATAGCCTGAGAGTCAGATATGGCCTTTGATATGGTGCCGGGTGGCCCGCCACCCATTTTCAAATTTACATTAAAAACCAACTGATTCACACTTTTTTGTACTTTGAATGTCAACAAGGTTCCATAGTAAATAAAAAAAAGCCCTAAATAGCGTCATATCCTGGAAATGTCCCTGCATACAGCTGGCCTGTGCATGGCTGCTGTGACTGGATTTGCCTCATGTTAAAGATGAGTGAGTACGGCAAATTTATAACAGGCAATTCACGTATTACATATACTGATTATTATTTTGAATATTTGTTTATTAACTGGTCCCTGGCCTTCCAAAATTTTCCAAATTTGGCTCCCAGGCAAAGTAAGTTGAATATCCCTGGATTACATTCTGGCCCCAGCTGCTGTTTGTCAGGTCTCCTAAAGGAAAATTCTGCAGCGATGTAAACTAATACCACTTCAGCATCATTCCTGCTAGTAGACATGTAAGCAACCATGTAAAAAACACCAGTATAGTCCTTTAAATTGGGACCATTCACAAGAAACATCAAGTCTCTTGAATTTAATTTTGAACAGAGTGAATCATCAGCTGAGTCAAAATGTAACACGTCTTGCACAAATCCACTTCAGACTGACTAGACAGGTGGCTTTTACTTACAAATCTTCCCATAATGAAGTTTTCAGATTATGTGGCCTAATTTTTTTTTCAGATCCGTAAGACATGCTTGTGTGTCATTTTTTCTTTCTCTCACATTTTTGCATCTGCTCCACTCTGTTCTTATTTATTAAGATCTTTGTTAGGCTATTATTTGGGGTAACTGAATGACCCCAATTTTGGTCTGCCTGGCATGTATCACCTGGGAAACAGATAGTTTTGATTAATGCATGTCACTGCTCCCTGAAATATTGCAGGGAGGTTTTTTTTTTTTTTTTACATTTAGTCGTACCTCTGACAAATATATGCTACTATAAATATAGACGGAGAGGGACGGGGTTGGGGGTTTCCATAGCAACAGAGACAGAGCTATGGGAGGCTCTAAATCCAGACCAACTTGAGTAATTAGGATACAGGATACTGTTTTAAACAGGATATCTATTGTAGCACATTTTTTTTAAATTGTCTCTGTCCTGGAATAGCCTATAGAGAGCACACAGATAAGGCACACACACACGCTCGGACACAATGCTGTTCATCAAGTAGCATCCTGTTTCTACAACTGCAAGCCAAAATACTGTTGATATAGTTAAATAATAAACCCTCGTGTTGAACCCAAAACACAAGGAGCCATTTTTTAAATCAGAGGGATAAAAACAGGCTTCTGAAGTCGTTCAGATGTCAGCGCCTTCTCGTGTTTTTGTAACGTTAAATGCATATAAAAAATTCATCAAGACTCATGTTGACTTTAAGTCATTTTTTCTCCGCCGAATTGTGTCGACACGTTATGTCCCACTTTTATAAACCACATAAAGCTTGAGAATAATTATCTTTTTCAGGCACGTAACGGTTCAGTCCTCTTTCTACTTTAGTAGGAGAAGGAAATATAAAATCTTTCTTACCTTCATTCCGCTTGGTAGAAGCCTTTCCCCTTCCATCTCCAACTCCAGGGAACTCCCACACCAGTCATGCAAATGACCGTGATTGACGTATTAGAGAGCCAATAGAAGAGGAGGAATCCCTGAAACTGGCCAATGAGGACCCTGATAAGTATCGAATGACGCACGAGGAAAGGGCGGGGGAAACTTCTGGTGAAAAGAAAAGAGAAAAATGAGAGAACGTTATACAGAGGTCTGCCGGGGGCGGAGGCTGACTGAACTGCCACTGGGGTTTAATAAGATTAACGGAGCGGTTTTTAATTTGCCACCGAGGTCACAGTTAAATTTGTGAAAATTCTTTAAATGACGGATTTCCCGCCACTAGACAGATAGTTTACTGCGAGGAATGTGTGTACATGAGAGAGACAAATAAAACTCCACAAAGCCACACCTTACTCTGAAATACTCAACTTCCCATCATCCTCAGTGCAGGTCTGACCACGCGCTCATACGGAAGAGGATTAGGGCCATACGTGAAACCGTTATTTGAGTTGTGAGTTTAAAATGAATTGTGACTTTATTCTTAGAATTCTGACTGTAAACTCAAATTAATTTTTCACGTGACCTTTACAGGCTCATGTGCAGTGTTGTGCTTGAACGCGCCAAAAGAGTGAGGTTATTGAATATGCTCATATTTTTGTTTGTGTGATTCATGATTTATTGTGTTAAAGCTCCAAAATTTTGATACAGAATACCCTTATTTGTCTTGTACAGAGCTGTGCAAAGTTTATCAGACTAAGGACCCCTTAGCTGAAAGAGAGATGAAGCAGGGACCCCCTTCTACATACGCAGTATAAAATTTATTTATTTATTTATTTTTATTTTATATACTTTATTAATCCCCGAGGGGAAATTCAATTGAGTTGCATGTTAAATTGTGCAGCCCATGTGCAGCCCTGATTGTCATAACGTTACACTTTTAAGGTGCATACAATACAAAGCTATTAAAATACATCATTGTCATTTGTTTCTGAGGTGGACGGTATTTTAGAGTCTCTTGCTCTCGCTTATTGTAACTGTTAGCTAACTGTTTACTGTTAGCTAACAGTTAACTGTTAACTTAGCCTACTATTGGTGTTCGCTAGCTAACATGTTTGTGCAAGGATTTATGGGTAACAGTAAATTATTATTATTAAATTATTTATTTTTTAAGAATAGGCCAATTTATTTTTGCTAACTACAGCCTGGTTCCACTCAAATGTTGTCAAATATCAGCATTTGGGCATGACGTCCACATCAGACACAGACGATAAAAAGCTGTCTTTTCACGTTGGCATGATACACAGCCGGGCGCTATCAGTGTGTAACAGTGTGTCAGGGTATACAGGCAGCCAGACAACAACATAAGGTAAAGAGGCCAAAACTCTAACTAGGGCAGGTGGGGGGGGGGGGGGTCCAACAATCACTGACTTTCACCTGGGAGGCTGGTGTTCCCTTCCCATATGGCTGTAAATCTAAACCCTGTTATTTTATTTTTTTTCGAAACACAACCACTTGCATTTTTTGTCAAAGGAAAAAACATCAATTCACATTGCTGTACCGACATAGTACGTTTATTTTGAAAGAGACTGTGTGCTAACTGTACATTTCCTGTGAAAACAGAAGTGTATGTTGAAAAGACACAATGAACGTAACAGGCTGAAGTTCACACGGCGATCCAAAGCATTCACAACAGACGCACCCAGGCTACTTTGCACGTCATATTTCGATGTGGAAAGTCCACGACCAAGCAGTGATAAGTGACAAGGTCAGAGCGAGAACGTGTTGGTTTATAATATGTTGTATTCATGTTAGTATTATTTTTTTAAATATATTTGAATGAAATTTGAATTAAAACATATATTAAATTACCAAACAATAATCGGATGTATAATACAAGAGGCTCCACTGTTACAACCTGCCCCACTGCTGAGGTAAGTTGTAAATTAAGAAGAATCAAAAGTTACTCAATTACAAAACATACCCTACACATTAAAATCATATACACTGAGCTTTTCCTTTAGTCTACATTTCGAAGCTGTACCTGTCAGAGATTAGTGCCTCACATGGAGTTAGTCCAAAAAACAAGTCTGTTGCCTCACTGAAGTAACCAGCCAACACATCCTCTTGCTGTGCATTGAAGACTTTTTGACTGCTGTGGTAGCCCACACAGGGCAGCTGTGTTGAAAATGGCAAAGCCCCCTTTTTTTATTCATTCATCCATTCATAATCCGCAACCACTTATCCTATTCAGGGTTGCGGGAGGGCTGGAGCCTATCCCAGCTGACACTGGGTGAGAGGCGGGGTACACCCCAGACAGGTCGCCAGACTATCACAGGGCTGACTCATAGAGACAGACAACCTTCATGATCACAGTCACACCTGTGGACAATTTAAAGTCACCAATTAACCTAACCTGCGCGTCTTTGGACTGTGGGAGGAACCCAGAAAACCAGGAGCAAAACCATGCTGAGACAAGGAGAACATGCAAACTCCAGACAGAAGGGCCCCTGCTGGCCAGCAGGTTTCAACCCTTAAACCCTCTTACTGCAGTGCTACAGAACTAACCACTACACCACCGTGCCAATAACTAAAGCCCCTTTTTCTCCAGCCAAAATTTAGCCTAATTTTGGAGCAATATTTAGCTTCTTCCCAACAACATAGCATGACATGGTTGGTACCGATGGATGCCTTAGGTCATGATTAATATATCTTCAATCTAGGTTTTCGCCTTTGCTATATTCAGCTTCGCCTGTCATTGTTACCCATAGGTTGCATCTTAATACCACCATTTTCACAGGTGTGACCCCCAGCGCTGGGTTATGTGCTGGCTGTATTTGAATTGCTACAGTTGCAAACTGAAGGTACATCTTTGGAGCTCCTGCCCACTCTCCTCCTGGCAAGGTAGTTTCCTAGTGGTGGGGAGTGAGGCAGTAAAACTGCAAGGTGTGCTAGTATTGTCTTCAGATGTCTCTCACTTATGAGAAATCAATGCCTACCAAGCACTAACTTGATATTTATATATTTGAGACCCCTCTCAAAAGAAAATTCTATGAACCTCTCCCATGTGTGTGTGCTCCAAACATCCATGTGGTTGTTTCCATGGTGCCAAACTGACCCCCAACTGTACATGGCCCAATGACTCAACTGTATGGTCAGTTCGGACACTGCAGTTTGTGGTGCTGTTGAGCTGTATTGTGTTATACTACGGTAAGAGCTGTTATTTAGACAAAAATAATAGGAACACCTGTCAGTATAACAATGCATGTGTACTTGCCCACACAACCCATTGAGGAAGTCTAATCAGACAAAATAAGTAAAAACATCTGTGTGCACAATGTGTGTGGCATATTAAAGTTGTGCCTTTTGGCTTAGACAATGGAGCTCAGGCAGACTCAACAGACAAAGCAGAAGAGGATAAACCAGTCTTTGTTTGGTCTAAACTCAAGCTTATAGTCAGCAACAAAGAAACAAGCAGGCAGGCATGAGATTAGATGAGAAGAGTGGCTGATAGCAGGTGGCAGATGTGTAGGCAGGTGAGCAATCAGATGACTGGGGTTTCCCTCAGGGAATCATCAACGATACCCACCGACATCAGCCTACACAATAGATCTTCTTCACAGCAGACATCTTGACTTGTCATAGCAGCACCAGCACGGGTGTAAGTAATAACATCAGTGATGGTTCTGTGTACCAGTGAGCCAGCATTCACAATAACAGGACCCTAAAACTGAAGCAGCTATAATGGAATACAGCCATTATTCACTGTATTAGTTACACCTGTGCTTTCTCTTGTGACATCTCAAAATGACTTGTATGAAAGCGGGTCATAATAGCACTCATTAAACATATGACATTTTCTGTGTGAAATAGCACCTTTGCTCTTTTCTCTGAAGGTTAATGTTTTATGACACAAGAGTGTTTTTAGGTTTCACATTAGGAATGCAACAAGACAAAAAAGTAGCCTAACTTGAGGGTCACTCACTCACCCATCGTGCAGGCTGGAGCACAGGGCAGCGTATTAGAAGATAAATCAGGTGAAACTGTCAGAAGTTGTGTGTCTTGCTCACCTGACAGCATGAAAGGCGTTCTCTACCTGACAGCGAGATGAATGAGAGGCAGAAGTGAAGCCAAAGCCTTGTTAACATTATTCACGAGGAGCCAGACATGTTAGTGGTGGATGGATGGCTGTTACAAATGATGCATGCTGGCTCCCTCTGGAGTCCCCTCTGGAAATTGGCTGCTTATCAGAGAGCAGACACTCATCACCTGGCTGAATACCTCTTTTCTTCTTCCCCAGTGGACGGTCTGTTTTGATGTGCTCCACAATGAAGAGCAATGGGGCCCAGCTGTCTGTACAGAATAACCTCCACCCTACTGCACACTGGGGTATCCCAAAAAAACAAAAAACAGTTAGTCTAATGGAAGAACGACAGTATATTATACATGAATCATGATGGAGTATCCAAGCAGTTTGAACTGTAACAATATCTTATCATGATTTGTTATGAAGTAACCATTTTTATAAAACTGTTAAACAGACACAAGTGCTTTGTCAATATGGTCATACACTATATAGTCTAAGTAAAGAGTGTCCTTTACCAGACACTTTTCTGGAAATGCATGAAAGGCATTTTCTGTGAGCATAATCAATTTGAAAACCAGTCTTTTGTGATGTTAGGAGCCTATAGTGCAGGCTGTGTAAATGCATCAGGGATAATCACCAGGGTTTTATATTTAAAGATGTATCTATACTAACACTCAGCCCTTGTCATCAAATAAAGTGTTGCTTTTTAATATTGCATCTGTACACATCATTAGGCCACATGAGATACACATACATGGGAAATATATATTATGGCCCCCAGCCCAGATGTTTTAGGGATTTAATTTGCCATTTAGCTCAACAAATCACGTGACCGAAGTTCTCACAATGCTGATTATTAATTAGCAGCCATACAAAGATACTGCAGCCTGGCGCGTTGTTTTCTAACAGACATCTCTACAAGTCAGCTGCTGGGATCACCATTCGTAGCTCTCCGTTATTATTCGCTTCCTTGTAGCATGATGCGGTAATGCCGCATTCAAGTGCTGTCGGACATTTGAGTATTTACGTCTGGTGTCCATTAACTGCTTGAAATGTGACATATGAAGGTGGAATGTTTACCAGAGTGTTTAGTTTAGGGGTCCTACAACACGGTAGCGACACTTCTCTTATCTATGATTATTGAATTCCTCCATCATGCCTTGTCAGCTCTCATACTTTATGAAAATGAGATAAGGGTAAAGTTTCACTGGAGGACATTATTTATTTGAAAATAGTAAAACGTGAAATAATAGAGTAAAAAAAAAGACTAAAACAAGGCAAGGCAACCAAACAGTAATGTATAAATGTGGTTCCAATAGACTATTTCTAAGACTAGATGTTTAAAGACGTCATAAAATCAAAGTATTTATTTATTTTTTTTTTGTTTTCTGTTTTCTGTTTTTGTTTTTCACGTCACTGATCCTCACCTCTATGCCAGTATCTGGCCCAACAATAACAAAAAATATTTTGCTGGTGTTCTTAATGGTATTTTAGAGTTTGTTATTTCCTGGAAACAATAGAAAATGTTGATGACTCATCCTTGGAGGTGTACACTAATTTTGCATCCAGTCAAGTGTTTTCTGTGTCCCCCATGACTGTAAATTCAGACAATACCAACTGGCATACAATTATGGCTTGTTGCTATGCCTGCCGTCCCAACTCCTGAGGTTACCACTTATAATGAGGGCAGAAAGGCATCATTGCAAAAGCCTAATGCCCCCCCACTCATGACTTTTGTCAAAATATACCAGCCAACATTTATACATGGGGCCCATGTGGGTGGTAAATGAGCTGAAAAATGGGCCCTGTATGGGGTTGTCCACTGGTTCCACATTGGCCCTGATGCCAATTGCCCACATGGGTTCTGCAAGGGCTACCTGGATACCAAATAGGCACGGACCTAAAATGGGCATCTTATCTGGAACCCACCTGGGTAAATCCTCCCATTTGGGCAATTGATATGGGGCCATTGTCCACCCTGTGGCCAGCTGCACACAGCCCATTTTTGAGCCCATTTACTACCCACATGGGCCCCACATACAAACACAGTGTGACTTTGACTTTGCATTCTCAAAACCACAAGTCCCTCCCTCCCTAGATTCCTGTTTTTATAGCAGACATGTAAATAAGCTGAATCATATAGCCATCTGCTGGCTGTTACTTTAGACTTTAATTACTGCATGGATAAATACAAAGTAATAAGTATGTAGTGCGCACAGGTAACGCAGTGCAATCCTCACAAGATGGTACCCCTGTCCCAGAAATGTATCATGATGTCAGGTAGACATTCTCTATTAAGAACATAATGCTATAATATAAACACAGCAGTATATTGGCTAGTCCAGGCCGTGTAAATATAGACAGTGCAGGCAGAGTGGTTGCACTGGGGCCCATGGGGTGTGGGGGCCCATAAAGAGAGTGGGCCCTCCAACTGTATGTTAGGCAAAAAAAAAACAGGTCCTTGTGAGTAGATGGCTGCCTTAGAAATATGCCTGTGCTCAAAGCAAAACTCCATTAACTATTTGCTATTTATGCCTTTGAAAAGGCAAACCCATCTCCATTATGTTTTTCTTTCTTTTTTTGTTGTTATAAATAACCAGTAACAATCTATAACTACTACAAATTATGTTACAGAATATATGCTTACCCTACAAGAGCTATAAATAAGTTATACAATCAAATGAGTAATCCCTAATTTGGGGCACTGAGGCTCGTTGTTACTACCTTATGCCTCTGGGCTGGCCTATCATGTATGTTACAAAAATAAACCTGTCACGTGGTCTATTGTGCTTTAATTTCCGTGTGGGGACATTAATAGGCAGTATAGGCAGCTCGAGTTCTAGGATCTCCGAGCTTACAGTAGGTGATTTAAGGCGTCATAAGCCTGCCCCTCTGAGCAGCACTCAGCTGCATGTTTACTTGCTTTGTCAGCGCTCCCCGCAGCAGATATCTCATGAACCTCATCTGCTGCTGATCAAAACCTTGGACTTTTATCCCTTAGAGTGATTTATCACACCGTCAGGCCTCCTTATCAGCAGTTTCCTCTCTCGCAACATTTTGTGACTAGCCACTTGCGGACCTTGAGCCGGGACTCACCGGGTTCACAGCTTTTTTTCTAGCTAACGGAAAGATGACGTTAAAATCCAATAAAAACGAACCCGCAGTCAAACTGGAGTCGGTGAACAGCGTCCGGACAGCCCTCTCCGACCTCTACCTGGAGCATCTCCTTCAAAACAAACCAAAGACAGACAAGGTAAGGTGTCGTTTAACCGTCTTTTTTATTTTATTTTTTATTTTTGCCCCCAACATCTTGGTGTTTGCTTCCCGGAAGCAGAGGTGGGACACATGACCGTTGTTTGTCCCTCGACAAGATCTTTAAAAATAGACCCAGTTGTGATCTGACGACACAACTTACAGCAACTAAATGTGTTGATCTCTTAACAAAGAATTATACGTATAGATGTTGCTTCACAGATCAGCAGGTCTGTGTCAATAACCACTGCATTGCTCACTACTGCTCAGTCAGCCTTAGTTAAGTCCCATTAGACATTACATTGGCAATTTCACTTCTCCATTCCTCCCAAAACTACTTGTAGGAATCATCTGACAAATTCCGGTCTTCATCACGTGTCAGGCTGTTTAAATGTCTTGCTGTGATTACAGGACAATGAGCCTGTAAGACAGTGGCACACACTCCATTATAAAGTCATGTTTAACTGTGACAGTAAAGTCATCTTAGAGAAACATCTGTAGTTTCTGGATTAATGTCATGCAATATAAAAGAAGATAAACAGATGGGAAATTTAGTTTTTAACTATGCTGTGTAACTTAGCCTGCAGCTATGAGTGCTGCTGATGAATCAGTGTCAACAGTCAGCTGAGGCCAGCAAGGTTGTTTACTCCATCACAATGTACCAGGTTATTTTAAGTATAAACTTGTTCTCAAGTGAAGGCCGGATTATGTTGCAAAACCATTGACTTAAAGCCGGACAACACCTGATATGTGTGACCACAAAGTACTTAAAACAGCTGCAATTTTTCAGTGATTGGGAAAATTAAGCACTTGACAAGCCCCAGGCCTCGACTCTGGCAGCCAGTAACGCCAAGGGAACTCTTTGTCCTAAAGTACTTCTCTGAAATTGAAAAGTCAGCACTGAGCTGCTGAAGGAAACGGCCAAAGGAGGAAACTCCTTTCCTGACATCAGCAGTTTGCAGCTCAATAGCCTTGAGTTACAGTCTTCTGCTCGGTGCCATTTGTGAAATCAGTGTCTTGAAGTGGGGTCACACGGTTCATTATCTCACAGTGCAGGCTGCAGTGTGTAATGCAGCTCCTATTGTGATACATGAGTGTATATTTTACCCAACACCTAGCTTATGTACTGTATGTTCTGGGTTCTTGAGATTGATTATGTAAAGTGAGTTCTGCTGTTCCAGCTCAGTGGTGTTGTCTACTCCACATACCTACTGTGCCCTGCCTCTACATAGAAAGTCTCTCATGCATTTCAACTCTAGAACAACCCCTTGTCACTCTCTGTCATGCTGAGACCCAAACAAGTATATGCAAGTCTGGCTTAAAGCAGCTAAAATCTATCATGAGATGGACGACTGGAGGTATTACTTCTTCAGCAGCCCTTCCAGCTATTTCTGTATACTCTATCCAAATTCTTCCAGTCCCATATAGGTCAAATATTGATCTCCTACTGTGTTCTTTCAAGAGATCGATGCCTCTTAGCCTTTTGGCAGGAGACCCACCCTAAATCCAACTGGGGGAAAGGATGAATTATTAATATTTCTGGGCAAAATCATCTCAGGAGAAGGAACAGATGAGGAAAGAGACAGATTGTATTATAATGTAATCAGCCTTATTAGATCATGGTGCTGTGTGGTACAAAAAAGCAGACAGGACAATAGGACAATCACAGTGCATTATCTTATTGGAGATTGGCTCACTGAAATGCACTCACTGTTTGATCTTCTTCAAATAAACCTAATTCACCTTTAGATGAGACGACAATGGCTTTCTCTTGGGTGTTTGTCACAATGGCTGCCACAGGAGAGATGTTAGGGGGTCATGTAGCCTCTCACTCACTCCCTCCCAACCTACTAAAGACTAATCCAAACACCCTCATCCTGGACTCATACACCTTTTGTCCTCTTTTAAACCATCTGATCAATAATCATACTGTAATCTTACAGTAAAGGTTGCAAAATTTTCACTACTTGCACTACGTCCATGGCACACATGTACAGTTTACAGTTTAGCATTATATAAGCTACGTTGATAAGTGTGGTATTGTTGTTGTTTTTTTACACATGATCTTTCTTGCTAAACTGCCGTAACGGTACAGATGTCCTCTGAGATTAATTAACCACATTATCTCTACTTCTCCTGCTTATCCTGTTTATCCTGTTGCTTGTCCACACCCAAGACTGGCATTCACATGTCTGAAAGGGCTTCCTGACCTTGGTTATAATAACATGTGTTGACTGTTACCAGTGATTGGAACCTGTTGTGATAATCCAGATGAATGCCTTTAATAATTAATGTCATTACACTCTGATAGTGTGAGTGATAAAGTTCATTGTCAAGATCCTGATGAGACGTATTTAATTAAAAAAGGCTCTCAGTGCCAATCCAAATCTAATCACGTGACTGTTTCAGCATTCAGTGGACAGACATGTCACCTCTATGGCCTGCTGTGTGTGAGAAATCTGTTATATTCTTCAGATAGCTGCAGGTTTTGTGCTGGAGCCTATAGATTTAACTTATGTCAGTTTCCTTCCTGCTCAGTCTGAGGGTCAGCACTTTGTTGAGAGGGAATAAAGTCAGCTCTGTGCCTTGAGGAGAATGACCCTATATTTGTTAAGATAGATTTCACAGTTAGTCCTGCCTCTACAGGGCCCTTAAAGAAGGTTCTCTAAACTGGGAAAAACAGTAAGCGTCATTATAAGATCGCCCAGCTGGTGCAGTCTCTGGTACTTCAACACACTTATCCAGTCAATTTACAGTAGTCATACAATCACAAATAAATGGATTCCTAAAGTTTCTTTCACATTGTCTTTGGAGCCAATCTGATCACCAGAAAATATTTGCATCGTACGTTTCTGCAAACCATGGATACATTACATTTGTATATTATTATGTTAAAAAAACACTTGGTTATGGTTTGGAATAGATCATGTTTTGGCTTAAAGTACTTGGTTTTGGGGGCACAATTCAGCCTAGAAAAGCAGCAATGTCGCTGTAAAAAAACAACTGCTTTTCATGCCCCAGTGGAAAACCAGCAGAGAGGTTGCTTAAAAAAACACACAGGCTAAAAAGCTGCCAGAAAAACAGCAATAACTCACTAAAACACAATCAGTTTTGCTGTTTGTTGGTCTTGAACAGTGGTCTGCAACTTTGCAGGCATCTCACCAAGGTGACACACCATCCACCATCCCCTCCACCCAATGACAAAATCAGCTCATAAACTATGTCACTTTAGAAATGTTTTTATGATATTGCAGAAATATACAACTTTTTTTTCTGGCGACTGGGCTGTTGGAGCAGCTCTAACTGAAAATAAAGTTTATGCCATCAGGCGTAACAAGTAAAAACACCTGTCAGAGCTCAGAGATCAAAATCAGTGTGTGGTGTGTTTAAGAACAAATTTGCATGTGGTGATTTTATCTGGAGCAACATTGCTGCACAGATTCCTTTCTCAGAGGATGTATAATTTCATCTGTTCACCATGGGATCCCATCCACCCCCCCCCCTGGCTCTGTACAGTCCTGACACATAACAGCCCAAGGCTGGTAAATAACTATCATGTTGCACAGAAAAGCGACTGCTTGGCTTTCACTGCTGCTGCAGCTGAGCACTGTTTACTCAATGATTATTACGTTTTTTTATTAAGGAGCCAAAATAATGTGAACACTGACACACGAGCTACATATTGAAGATAATGTTACCAAGAATACATATTTTTAATTAAAAGAGGCTTGAAAGGAATTCATAAGAGAAATAAAGGGAGTATAAACTCCTGCCTGTGTGACACACCAAACTGCTGTGACAGTACATACAGTATTTTAGGGCCGAGGTGATAGGCAAGAGGGTGATAATGACATTTATGGGTTTATTGTAGTGCTGATGCAGGAAGATAGATAATATAGTTTTTTGCTGAAGCAGTGCTGAAAATTTGTGCTGATGCAAGTAATTGTGTCTCTGATGTCACTTTGGTGACTAATTTATGGACCTTTTGATATTGTGCAGTACTTGTTCTATATTACACATGGGTACTAGCCACATAATGCCAGTTTACTCCGAAGGAATCCTTATAGGGTGTGTTATATATTTAATGTGATTTCTCAATGATGGAAGAGGAGCTTTTCCTCACACATATATTTCCTCTTCGACAGTGATCTGCAACAGAGACCATCTTTGTTGACACTATGGAAATAGCCAGGAAATTTTCCAGGGATATGCATTTTCTGTCTTTGGGTTAAGTGTAAAAGCAGAGTGCGACTCCACAGAGTCAGCCTCTGGTTGCGTCTTTGATGTCTATGTAACATTTGAAAATCCATTCACGCTCCATACTGTGAAGAGCTGGTTTCCTTACATTAACGCCTGTCTTTGATGTGATCACCTGATGAGACTGCTGGTATCCATGACCACATGAACCAGGTGGACCAGATCACTGGACGTGACTAATGAGGTGTTATAACACCGGGTTAATTTTCAACCTTGAACATATGTTGAAACTGCAAATGAAACATAGCTGTTGGCACACGTTAGCAGAGAGCTTACACTGCAGTGATTGGAAATACCAGTGTGATAATGACCTGACATGTCCAGGTGCACTGACTGTAAATCTGGAGTTAAATGATTTGCATAAAGGGATGTTTTCAGAGTTGATTTCATTTTGTGTTTTTTTTTTGTTTTTTTTTGACAGGCTGCTATGCAAACCTACGAGAATAAGGGGGCTGAGGTTTACAGCAATGGCAGTGCTGGACACATGAACGGCTCAGAGCTGACCAGGATGAAGGAAGTCGAATTTGAAAAGAATTCTTCAGAACCACTGGTACGAGTATCTGCCTCCATACACACAATGTTGTTGAATTGTGTGTATTTGTGTTGCTGACTATGGTCTCTGTCTGCAGGGGGTCACTCTGAAGCTTAACGACAAACAAAGGTGCACTGTAGCCAGGATACTGCACGGGGGCATGATCCACAGACAAGGTCAGTAATCACATATTGATCTGATTTGAGTGTTATTGTGAGTGTGCTGACCTGGTGTATGTTGGAAAGAAAGCTCTCTGCCCAAAAGGTCAACGGTTTATCCAATGCAGTCACAGCAAATCAAGCTTAGCATTAGCATCTGTGTATACAGGAGGTGGTCAACACATAATTGTCTCAGGCCATACATAAGATAAGCTGTAAAATGATGAACTATTACAAGGATATGATAAGTATATTGTTCACATGACTCTGTTATGATTTGAGATTCAGATTGCCACTTGATATTATACATTTTAATACACTGATTCAGCATCCTACTTGTATCCGGATAGGCTCTGTAAGCTCTATACGATGTTACAGAAATGTCACTAAACAACAATGTGTCGTTCTTTGAGGAGCTGCATTCATGTGGTGTTGGAATAATCTTAAAAATGACTTTCTAATCATATTTCATGGTTCACTTGTTCCGTTTCCTTTGCTCTTCATCATTTACATGTTGTTTAAACACTCTGAGCAATAGAATACAACACATCTTCTCTGTAGCATGTTGTTTCCACATTACAACTGAATGCTCATGAACACAACAAAGTCAGAAAAACAACCAACCAAGAAGTAACAAAAATGCACCACTGGCCTTGACTGGTAGAGGGCTCCACTTGAGTCTGCTTCAGTCACTTTTTGTTCACTCATCATAGCAGGCAGCGTGAGCAGTTCTCTATTATAATAGTGAGTGGGCGAGCACTTGGACATTTGACAAGCTGACCTACATACTGGACACTAAAAAGACCTGTTCAAAAGATTCATTTTCACCAGTTGCTATTTTCTTGTCTTTAGATTCTCTCTTAGGAGAATAAAAGTTACTTCAGTAGCTGCAAGAACATTTTAGCACTACAATAACTGCAAAATAGAACCTGAGCTGGAACACAGAGGAGCATTTGTGAAATAACTCCACTTATCCTGGTTTTCTTCCTCTTTCCAGGATCCTTACATGAAGGGGACGAAATAGCAGAAATCAATGGGAAAAGTGTGCTAAACCAAACTGTAGATCAGCTACAAAAGATCCTGGTAAGTTCACACCTAATCACTTAGAATTTGATTTTGACACTGAGGTCAAAGCAAATCTTTATGTAAATATCACACCTATGCAACTAGATATGAGTAAAGCTGTGTCATCTTTCCTTGCAGAAAGAAACAAACGGAGTCGTCACAATGAAGATTATTCCCAACATGCAGAGTCGATCCCGCGTCTGTGAGGTAATAACATGACTGGCACAATGTGCACTCAGCTGTGGTATTGGGGTGAATTTTGTTTTGTGTATCACACGCATGTGCACGAGTAAACCAAATAAGCTTTACGTTCAAATCCAGTGGTAACCTGTAGAGGTGTAATCTACAAAGATGGGTTTGCATTGCATTTCTTTAAGTTTTTCCTCCACAATTTACTCCTTAAAAGCATTTTGTTCTTTATTAGGTGAATCTTCTGTTAGTCAATGAACAACTCAGGTGACTATCAAGTAAATTTAAATCCAGATTAGTTTTGCTAGTTTGACTTGAACCACTTTGGTAGTGTGTTTCATTCTGCCATCTACTGGCCACAACTCATCACATTCTCTCCAGCAGTATTTTCATGTGCTTGCTATAGATGAAAAATGGCTGCTGCCTCCATTTTACAACATAAAACAATAGTCTTTTTTGAACACAAAGAAAAAGTACATTACATTCAGTGATGTGACTCCTGTCTCAATACAGTCTATCACTGCATTAAGTTCCGACTTTGCTGTGGTCAGTGATGGCAGTCTACTGAAAAGCTTATAGTCCATTAATATGTAGGTGTAGTTAATATGCTCTTCATTGTTTAATGCTCATAGAGCATCATTTTTGGTGACCCAGAGTACTCCAGTATACCCTTACTACACAATGGGTATATTAAATTGTTTTTGTACAACAACCACTGGAGTATCTGGGGGAAACCACTAATGTTCATGACCTCTACTAACAATAGTAACATTTTACCCTGAGGAGAATTTACATGTGTTCCTGCTGTGATCTTTGACAGTTCAGGCAAGGTTTGTACATAAAGTGATCTCTTTTAGAAGATGAGAGAACAAATCTGGCGTAAAACCAAATGTGAGCAGCTTCTCAACTGGATGTTAATTGGACACCGAATTAGTGATCTGTGGGGATTTTCCAGAGATCTGTTCTATAAGAAGTTCTGAAGATATGTAGCATCAGCTGTTATGTGTTTTCTGCAGGTCAGCTACAGGACGACAATTGATCATTTGATAAATTAGACTTAAGGCCTGGACCTGGGAGAAAATAATTCATTTTCACAACATGAATTGAGCTGTCTAAGATCATATCATGAACATGTAAATTCTATTAAAGGGTGAATTTCCCATTTAACTTTGTGTTAGACATTCTCAATGTGAGTATTTATTCTTTAGAATTTGGATGTATGGACAAGAACTGTAGATCCCTGAAATCCGACAGTTGATGGTTCATACATGTTCGTAATGATCGTCTCTCATTACAGCAACATGAGTATGTTTTGTTCACTGCAGTTGTCAGCAAGCTGTTGACAGCTTATGATGTACTGCTACTTATGGCAGTGCACTTAAGAGCAATCATGGTAGAGCTGAGGTTAAGATTTTGAACATATACTCGAGATGTACCACTTCTTTATGGCCTAAATATTGAAGAAGAGCAAAATGTTGAATATTTAATTTCAAGCTTTGCATGAGCTTACTTAAAGGGACAGTTCACCCCAAATCAAAAATACATGTTTTTCCTTTTGCCTGTAAAGTGTAATTTGTCTATCTATTTTTGGTTTGATTGAGGAGTGTTGGAGATATCTGCTGTAGAGATGTCCGCCTTCTCTCCAGTATAATGGAACTAGATGGCACTTGGCTTGTGGTGCTCCAAGAGCCAAAAAAGTAGCCTACATTTTAAAAAAAAACTCAACAGCAATGTCTCTTTCAAGAAATCATGACCCAGTTACTCAAGGTAATCCACTTGCCTTGTTGTTAGCAGTGTCATTTAGGAACTACTTTCTTTCTACCGAGCTACACCTGCTTAATGCATTACCATGCTGAAGGAAGCGAGCATCTACTGCTAGCTCACCACCAGAACACCACTGACCTAGCTAACGCTACAGTTCAGCTGAGGAGGATGCCATTAATGTTACATCTCACTCTGTCACGAGCACGAGCCTCTTGGCCATGAGTAGATACACACTTCCTTCTGTTGGGTGATACAGTTGGCAGATGTAGCTCAGTAAAAAGAAAATAGTTCCTACATAGAACTGCTGAGAACAAGGTCTTTTGATTATGGGTCATTATAACTGGGTCATAATTTCTGGAAAGAGGCATTGCTGTTGAGTTTTTCAAATGTACTTTTTTGGCGCTTTGAGCACCACAAGCCGAGTGCCATCTAGTTCCATTATACTGGAGAGATGGCAGATACCTCTAAGGCCAATATATCCAACAGTCGACAACTCGCACCAAAGCAATCTCGACTTATAAATAACACTACAGGTAAGAGGAAGATATGTATTTTTGATTTAGGGGTGAACTGTTCCTTTAAACCCCACAGCGTAAACAATGACTGTCTAACATTAGACTGATTAAAGTGTTTTTTCAGTATATTACTGAACTGCAAAATATCTGTTTCTTTTATAACAACTATTCATGTATTCATACACTTAAAAACAATGGCAGTCATGCTCAGCAAGCATCAGGTGCAGCAGTACGTCATTTGTGACAAATATCTCAGAACGGATTAATTGAAAGCAGAAGAAATGTCCTCATAGAGCTCAGAGAAAGTGTAGAAGGTTTTCTGTGTTTCGAAGTCCAAGAGTAGCTGAAAGATACTTTTAAAAAGTTTGTCCTCAGCAGCAATAAATAAACGCACATCAGAGACTGTTACAATGGGAGATTGAACACGCTGGTAAAGTCTTCAGATTGTAATTAACATTCAGTACCACCAAATACATACCGTAGTGTTTATGAGCTCCTTCTGTTCCCAAAAAGTGAATACAGCATATTTACTGTTAATCTACAGATGTACATGAGGGCCCAGTTTGACTATGACCCCATCAAGGATGACCTCATCCCATGCAAAGAGGCAGGTCTGAAGTTTCAAACTAATGACATCATTCAGATCATCAACAAGCAGGATCCCAACTGGTGGCAGGGCAGAGTGGAGAGCAGCGCTTCTGACTTTGCTGGTCTGATTCCCTCCCCAGAGCTCCAAGAATGGTAAACAGCTCTGTCATAGTATCTGACAAAGAATCCTGCAGTATGAGGTCACATGTACCATGACTTGCCAAATATTGACACAAAATTATCTGCATCATCATCAGTATGGACAAAGTCTTAACCTTAATCTCTTTGTCAGGAGGGTGGCAAGTAAAAGCAAGGCCAGAGAGGGCAGTCAGTCCTGCAGCCCATTTGGAAAGAAAAAGAAGTGCAAAGACAAGTACCTGGCTAAACACAGCTCGAGTGAGTGCCACTGGAATCATGTTTCCTGGATGTTTTTATTCTCAGTTGCACTGTTATACAGGTTTGTCCAAAACAAAATCCCTTCTGTTGCAGTTTTTGACCAGCTGGATGTGATTTCTTATGAAGAGGTTGTCCGGCTGCCTGCTTTCACAAGGAAAACACTGGTGCTTATTGGTAAGCTCAGTTACATTATTTATAGTGGTATCAGCTAAAGGTATAATAAGGCATTTCTGATCATCCATACTAATGCACGTTCTCACAAACATGCTACAAATCTTGTAAATTTAAAGGTAGTTTAATTCTGGGTGTTTTCCTACAACCAGATATTCAGACATAAAGGTTAATGCCTGATTAAAAAGTCCTTAGAAAATCAAAATTTTGCTGTGTTTAGGTGCACCTGGCGTGGGAAGGAGCCATATTAAAAGTGCACTACTGACCAGATACCCTGAGAAGTTCTCCTACCCTGCACCACGTGAGTAGATGCAGACACTTATTCCATTTATACACCGACCACGTTTTCTGGATTGTCCCTTTGCTAAGTCTTTAACACTCTACACAGACACCACCAGACCCCAGCGTAAGGAGGAGGAGAATGGACAGGAATATTTCTTTGTCTCCAATGAGGCCATGACCAAGTTCATCTCTGGGAATGAGCTGTTGGAGTACGGCAGCTTCCAGGGGTATATGTTTGGTACCAAAATTGAGACCATCCAGAAGATCCACGACCAGGGCAAAATTGCTCTGCTGGATGTAGAACCACAGGTTAGCATTCACAGGTTGTTCTGGAGAGGTGATGTGAAAGGACCAGTTGTGATTGATGGAAATTGTGTGATTATTTGAGGGTGGCTTTTTATGACTCTATGAGCTGTTTGAAAGTATTTTAAATGTTAAGATTAACCTACATAAACCTGAGCAGCAGCTCTTTTTTGCTGCTGTGGCTGTTAACAGCAAGGGGAATGATGGATGTGTTTAATCTTACTTCTTTCAGTGAAAATGAATGCATAAATAAGCAATGTGAATTCATAAATCAAAATCAGACCCACACTCTTAGAAATAAGGGTTTCAAAAGCTTTTTTCATGAAGGGCTGAGGTTCTACCCAGAACCATTGTCTTCTAAAGAACCCTGTTTTTAAAGGGTTATTCAAGAGTTCATTGTAAGACTAAATTTTCCATTAAGGACCTTTTCATCTGAAGAACCCTCTTTTGAAGGAAGAGTTGTTCATGGATTGTTGAAAGGATCATTGCCTTCAAATATTCAAATTGTTTCAAATGGTATTTTTAAATGTAGAGGTTAGGTTTAGTTTATTTGTTTATTTGAAAAGGGACAATGTACATCAATCAACATTTTTTAAAAAAAATGTAAAATGCACCCAAAATAGCAGAGAGGCTAATTTTCATCGGGTATCTGGAATCCCATCAATCAGTTCTTTTTTTTCTTGTGTTTTGTTGTAGTCGATATCTTAACCATCATTTCATGCCATACAATAATAGTTAACTGCGTACCTGCATTGAAAAGACACTCTGTTAATTGGTTAATAGGTGGAGATAGTGTCCTCTCTGCCACTGAGCATCTTGGTAGAGTTGAGATCCATTGCACCATTGAAATAGTAAAGACTGTAGTGGCAGTGATTGCACCATACTTTCGCCTCCTAAAAATGTGATCATGAACCGTGTTTGGTTCGGGTTGCGCTGAGGCACATCAGCCCTGGCCCTTTGAGAGCCTCATTAAACCCAAGGCTGCTGGATGCGGTTCCCTTGACCCAAGCTTAACTTGTTAAATGAAAAACATAATAAGCGGAATGTTAAAGGGTTCTTGGAAACCTCCTGGGTGGGTTGTAGATGAAACCCTTGGAATATAACAGGGTTTGCACCCTTAAAAGGTGGATTTGTTTTGGATAGAACCCCCAGAGAGTTATAGGTGGAACCATTAGACCATATACAGGTGCTGGTCATATAATTAGAATATCATCAAAAAGTTGATTTATTTCAGTAATTCCATTCAAAAAGTGAAACTTGTATATTATATTCATTCATTACACACAGACTGATATATTTCAAATGTTTTTTTCTTTTAATTTTGATGATTATAACTGACAACTAATGAAAATCCCAAATTCAGTATCTCAGAAAATTAGAATATTACTGAAGACCAATACAAAAAAAGGATTTTTAGAAATGTTGGCCAACTGAAAAGTATGAACATGAAAAGTATGAGCATGTACAGCACTCAATACTTAGTTGGGGCTCCTTTTGCCTGAATTACTGCAGCAATGCGGCGTGGCATGGAGTCGATCAGTCTGTGGCACTGCTCAGGTGGTATGAGAGCCCAGGTTGCTCTGATAGTGGCCTTCAGCTCTTCTGCATTGTTGGGTCTGGCGTGTCGCATCTTCCTCTTCACAATACCCCATAGATTTTCTATGGGGTTAAGGTCAGGCTAGTTTGCTGGCCAATCAAGAACAGGGACACCATGGTCCTTAAACCAGGTACTGGTAGCTTTGGCACTGTGTGAAGGTGCCAAGTCCTGTTGGAAAATGAAATCTGCATCTCCATAAAGTTGGTCAGCAGAGGGAAGCATGAAGTGCTCTAAAACTTCCTGGTAGACGGCTGCATTGACCTTGGACCTCAGAAAACACAGTGGACCAACACCAGCAGATGACATGGCACCCCAAACCATCACTGACTGTGGAAATTTTACACTGGACCTCAAGCAACGTGGATTCTGTGCCTCTCCTCTCTTCCTCCAGACTCTGGGACCTTGATTTCCAAAGGAAATGCAAAATTTACTTTCATCAGAGAACATAACTTTGGACCACTCAGCAGCAGTCCAGTCCTTTTTGTCTTTAGCCCAGGCAAGACGCTTCTGACGCTGTCTCTTGTTCAAGAGTGGCTTGACACAAGGAATGCGACAGCTGAAACCCATGTCTTGCATACGTCAGTGCGTGGTGGTTCTTGAAGCACTGACTCCAGCTGCAGTCCATTCTTTGTGAATGTCCCCCACATTTTTGAATGGGTTTTGTTTCACAATCCTCTCCAGGGTGCGGTTATCCCTATTGCTTGTACACTTTTTTCTACCACATCTTTTCCTTCCCTTCTCCTCTCTATTAATGTGCTTGGACACAGAGCTCTGTGAACAGCCAGCCTCTTTAGCAATGACCTTTTGTGTCTTGCCCTCCTTGTGCAAGGTGTCAATGGTCGTCTTTTGGACAACTGTCAAGTCAGCAGTCTTCCCCATGATTGTGTAGCCTACAGAACTAGACTGAGAGACCATTTAAAGGCCTTTGCAGGTGTTTTGAGTTAATTAGCTGATTAGAGTGTGGCACCTTTTCACAATATTCTGAGATACTGAATTTGGGGTTTCCATTAGTTGTCAGTTATAATCATCAAAATTAAAAGAAATAAACACTTGAAATATATCAGTCTGTGTGGAATGAATGTATACATTATACAAGTTTCACTTTTTGAATGGAATTACTGAAATAAATCAACTTTTTCATGATATTCTAATTATATGACCAGCACCTGTAAGGGTTCCTGGTTAAACCTTTCTCTTGCCTCTTCTCCACCAAATTAGCTCTGGTTCTTGAACTTTTTTGTCGAAATCTGAATGGTTCAAAATCAGGTGCAGAAACGGGAACGGAACCATTTCCATGTTGGTGGAAATGGGCAACAGATGGTTCTAGGTAGAATGCTTTATGTTGGTGTCTAGGTAGAGCTCTCTGAAAAGGTTCCAGATAAACCTTATATAAAGGGTTCTACCATAAACCAAAAAGGGTTCATATGGTGCCAAGCCAAAGAACACTGTATGGTTGTAGTTAGCACGTCTTGTTCTAAGACTGTATTCTCTGTCTTTGGTGAAGTAAAAGGTTTATTCGCCTACACTGAGCTGCTACCACTTGTCCACTAATATACTGTATACTACAGACTGCATACAGGGACATAACAAAAGTATCTGTCTCACTCTATTTAGAAAAAGAGATAAAGATGCTCTCCTAGGGGAGAAGGTGGTAATTTTATCCTTGTACAAACTGTATCTGTCATTAATCACTCTAATGCAATTCTTCTTTTCTTCCGCAATTAATGCAGACCTTGAAACTCCTGCGAACAGCTGACTTTGCACCTCTCGTGGTGTTCATTGCTCCGACCAGCACGGCTCCCCAGGTAGTACATTTTTATTGGAATAAATAAAAAAATCTCCATCAGCCAACACCTGCTGACCCTTTGTGTCTTCTCTCTTATAGACGGAAAACCTGCAGATGATCCAGAAAGAGTCGGACGCCATTTTAGCCACATATAGACACTTCTTTGATGTGGTTCTTGTCAACAACGATGTGGATGAAAGTGTGAAAGGTGTGGAGGAGGCCATGGAGCATGCCAGCTCCACCCCACAGTGGGTGCCTGTATCATGGGTGTACTGACAGGCCCCTAGTGTAATACCTTTCTGTTTGTTAAAAAGCAGTGCAATATCACTCCTTACACAAAACAAGTTAGTAATGTCCCAGGTGTGTATGGGTTTACTTTTGGTTCATGTTAATTGTCACTGAGATATTTTGCACAAATGCATCCAAAAAATGAGCAATATGTAGAAGACTTTATTTTAGAAAGTTGAGAACCTCACCGACGGTGTGTTATTTGGTTGTTTCGACATTTGTGCTTGAGGCTTTTGAGGGGCTAAGGGATCGTTTTGGTGCCGCACACCTTCTGTGATTGTTGGAATGTGAGCTAATGCAAAATAGGACCACAACTGTGAATGAAATCCTCTCTTTGAAATGACAGGATTTTATCATGTAAAGCATTATCTCGGGATTCATTGTGTGTTTTTCTGTTGTCATTAGATTGTGCCATGAAATTGAGATTCTGAAACTGTTTGTTCTTGCAATATATTTAACTCCATACATCATCCTCTACCCCAAATCTTTCAGTCAGTCATAGACAACCTCACCTGTGTCATCTCATCAAAATTGTATACCTCATGGGGTACTGTAAAGGCACTTTTAAACAAAAAAATAAAATTCCCAGCTCTGTTGCAACTGCTTCGATGACTGTGTTTCATGTGAAAACCTGTTCTCTAAGGTCCTGAAGGAAAACAGCAGCAGATTTATGTTTTATTGTTCATATCTACCTCACTTTATTCAGAAGAAGTCTCGGCTCAAGGCTTTTATTAATTATAGATCAAGACTTTCTGTATCTGAGCTGTACAATACAAATAATGTACCTGTATCTCCCACACATTACAATTCTTCCCTCATCCACAGTGTGAGAGACATTGTTGCAGGTTATACATGACAATGAATTTGTTCACAGTACTGCACAGTGTCCTGGGTGCCTTGATGGAATTATGTGGTTAATGAAATCAAAATATATCATGAGGAATATCGCCTCATTCTGTCAAGTGCACAACCATGTAAATCATTTAACCGTTACACATTCCCTCTCTTTAATATCCATTTTGAATACAATATATCAAAATAAGCATATGAGTTGAATAAGCAAAAAATGCATCAACAGAACAGGCACATTGAGTGGTGGAAGTGAGAACATCATAGAGCAACTAAGCATTTTTGGTGTGGTGTACTGAAACCTTAGATGGGCTATAAACAAATGGGCAGTGACAAGGCATACAGTCGCACATTGTGATAATTCTTCCCTGATCTACACATTTGATTATTATCATCAGCTCAGAAAAAGGAATCATGAGGAAAACTGTGTGTCAATAAGACCTACGAATTTAAGTTTTATATATATAGACTTTTTAAAAGTCAGTATCAAAATTTTGCAGGATAATTGAAAGGATGCCAAAAATACAATATAAGAAACTCTTTACTTAGCATGAAATTATAGTTTCCCACAAAAACATAAGTGCAACTGTCTCTGCACTTATTTTTTAGGGATGTTAGCCATAAAACAAAGTTGTCCTATGGCACCACCATGTGGGCTGCACCAAATTAACATCACCCTATGAGCTTCAACAGGGGTCTGCATTGTTTCTCAGGCCAAGGACCCCTTAACTGAAAGAGAGACAGGACAGGGACCCCCCTACTACACATGTTGTGTAAATCTGAATTGAACTTGAGATAATTGTGTGAATATTTTCAGGTCTTCTCTCGTTTGTGATGAAAGACTGAAGTTATTTACTTTTTGGAAAATAGGCATACATAGTTTGCACATACAGTGTTCAGATGACAATTTCATGAGCTCTGTAGCAACATGATCCATCATACAACATGTGTAAATTACATCAGTTGCAGTGAAGATATGTAATCATACAGTATGGATTATACAGTCATATCAGAAATATGTGGTGTTTTCACGAGTTCTCCTGTCTGATTTTACTTTCTAATGCTACTCTGAACATGCAATGTTGCTGTGTCCCTTCAGAAATGTCTAGTTATTTAATCTATAGCCACAGTAAATGCCACTTAATGCTTCTGTTTATGTTTGTAGGAAAAGATTCTGCATAAAGATGTTCAGTTTGGTGCTGCTTCTTTGAAAGGCCCAATCTGTCATTTTATCCAATGTGCCTCATCCATCCATCGGCCCATTTTCTGTAACTGTTTACCCACATAAGGGTCACAGGGGGCCTGGAGCCGATCCCATCTGACACTGGATGAGAGGCGGGGTACAGCCTGGAAAGGTTGCCAGACTTTTACGGGGCTGACACATAGAGACATGGAGACATTCATGCTCATATTCACACCTATGGTCAACAATTTAAAGTCACCAATTAACCTGCATGTCTTTGGACTGTGGGAGGAAGCCTAAACCCATGCTGTTGAGAACATAGAAACTCCACACAGAAGTTGGCCAGTGGATTTGCAGGTCATTAGGAAAAGCTACACATTAATACAATGGGACTTTTTGTTTTTCCCCTCCCTACCCATCAAAACATTTAGTCCATTCCAGGCTTCCCTAGCATTAACAGAACAGAGCTGACTCTTTACCATATCTTTATATTTTGTCTTATTCTTCTTCACAATTTCTCTTTAGCAGAAGGTCCAAATCCTCATGAGTAAAATCACGTCACCTCTCCCTCAGTCACCATCACATTTCTGCAGAAGCCTCTGTTATGTCATGAGGCTACACTCTAATGGTTTCCTTGGCAGTGACATTAACCTCACAAAACTTCATGCATTCGGTTCATTAGTGTTACTACAGCAATCAAAAAACATTGGTTTGACTATCCAAAATAATGAAATAAAACAAGAGATTATATTTTCCGAGAAAGAAGGAACAATTCCAGAAAACATATAAAAAGAATTTTGATCCAGCAGGAGTTTTTCAGTGATGAGACTGAAAGTGGATTTACACACTCACATGAGATTTAGCCTGCGTAATTTACTTGCGCCTACGGGACTAATGCTGCGCAGAAAGCCAATTCATGTGTCAAGTGAGGTCAAGTGAGGTTTAGTAGGATGAATATGTAACTGGATGTTTGAGTGATTGGATTAAATCTGACAAGGGATTCCTCCGGTGTCAGTTACCAGCAAAACAGTCAACACTGAGACGCTCAAAACAAACATTAACAATATCTCTTCAAACATCAGCAGGATTATACTGCAACTTTTTTTTTAAAATGAGAGACACAGTATTTGATGCATTCAAAACTCTGTTATGAAAATCTACACCAATAGGACAGAAGCTGCCCTCGGGACTATAAACAAGTCAAGGAGCTGTAAAGCTTATTATTCATTCTTGTTGCAGATGTGTTAGTGAAGCTTTTTCACATGAAACTGAATCAAAGATAAACCCCACTGAAGCCTATTCATTTACTGATTATTGATCAGACCCTGTATTAAGTGACATTTGCTTCCACTTTTTGGGTTTCAAAAAAATTCTACCTCTTAAAAACATTATCGTCATTCACTCTTGTCTTCCTGACATTATTTGTAAAAAATAATAGATTCAAGACCAACATCAGGATGGAAAAAAAAGAGTTCAATTAAATGGAAATTTAATTAACACTTAAAAATCTGGAAAAATTCAATCACATTTGAATATATTTCCTTATTGGCTTAAACAGCTGTTAACAGAGAAAGCTAAAATGATGTTATGGGTCATGATATACTTACTTTGATTTTGTTTTGTTTTGTTTTGTTTTTTTGTTATATTTTGCACCTTTCTGATATCTAGTTTATATTTAGTTTTGCATTTTTTATATATTGTATTCTATATCTGCTATACATTACTTTTCTAGTTTGTTTTAATCTTTGCATATTACGTGATTTGTATCTGCAGTCCTCTAACTTTGTATTGCAACTGCTGCACAGCAGGATATGTAAAGTTCTATGTTATGTTATGTTATCTTGTCTTAATCATTTTAAAAACAATTTTTATGGTATGTATGAATCATATGATTAAAAAAAGTATATATCTATCCGTTGGTCATTTTGTAATGATTTGGATTTTTTGTTTTTACTTTGCTAGCCAGAATCTTCCCTTCAGGAGGTAGCCTCCCAAGGGCCCCAGGGGCCAAGCTTGAGAACATATGCCTTAGAAGCCCCTATCCTCACATTAATTATATCAGATTTGTAAAATAGAGCACCATACTGAATGTGATGCAGATTAGTGTCATCCTGAAACAATAGTAAAACCTTGTTCCCCAAACAAAAGGCTGGTCAAATGCTCTCAGGTGGGTTTACCCTCCACTACATCCCTGTCCATATTTACTATGAATGATAATCAGACACCTACTGCGAAGCTCGCCACACCCCCTTTCGAGGAACGCCATTTTGTTGACACACAGACTTGCAATCAAAATAAGCTTCTTTACTGAAGCTTTAAACCCAAGCATGACCATGACATGTACTGCCTGTAAAGGAAATACGCATAGAGTCCCAAAACCAGCATCTATATGTGAAAAAGAGGCTGTCCTGGGCTTTAAAACAGTGTGTTTGAAGTCTCCGGTCACCCATTTCAACATGAAACTCGCCGCGATTGACGTCACCGAGCCATCTTTGTCCACCTAATCCAGGCGGCTGTTTATTACTCCTTCATTACCGCACGGACTCTGACAGCGCCGGGCTCCGGTATTAGCCTGCAGGTGCCGCATCACCGTAGAAAAAGGAGGAGAAGAACAGGTTTTGTAGCGAGGGGACACATCTCGGTGTGGCAGATACAAGCCAGTGCTCCTCCTAGGCTATATAGGCAGGGAAACGCCACAATAAGCAACCAAAGGGTGCCAGAGGGTAGAGAGGAGCGCAGAAGGCAATCCACATCCATCTGCCAGCCACTTAGTACGCGCTAACATTTCCAGTCCGGATCTCAGCACAGCTGTCCAGCCGATACTACCAGGAAAATGTGAGTACAGCACCGTTAAAGCTCCTTATTTAAAATCCTGATTTATTAATGAACTCCAATTTCGTCCTCAGGACTGATGTTGGCAGGCTGTCTGGGATTAATGGTGTCTGAATGCTCTCTTGTGTGTCTTTGCCATCAAATACTGAGATTATTTCACTGAAGTCACGTTAGGCAGTATATCACTGATATACACTGCTTTTAAATTTTATTTTACAGCTCTTATTTCTCTGTAAATATGGCACAAACGTTAACGTAGAGGCTACCGCGTCGGCCTAACCTTGGAGCAGACGGAGGGTTTATCTCTTTTAAATACATTATTAGCCGTATTTTCGGCTTTTACACGGTAAACGAGCTCCATGTTTATCGCGTGCCTCTTTTATTTAGTCGTCTGGTGCTTTCCACCGGAGCCAACACGCACGCATTTTTTCCAGTTTGGACTGGTTTGATTTGAAAAGGACACCGTCTGTGCGATTACCCACAGGCTAATTAAAACCACATGAAGGAAACATATTGTATAATAAAGCCTTTTTTGTCCTCAGCGAACATTTACAGGCCTTCATTTTTGTGTCGCTGAACCACAGGTGACAACACTTGAAGAAACAGCAAGGGCACACTGTTGGACATTTAAAGCGTCGACATTATTCGACGAATACACCACAGACCTTCTTACAGACGATGATATTATTAGCTCTGAGGTAGGCTTAGGCCTAGTTTACGTGATATTTGCAACCCATAGC